AGTGAGAGTGAAAGTGAGATTGAGAATGAGAGTGAGAGTGAGAGTGAGAGTGAGAGTGTCAGTGAGAGTGAGAGTGAGAGTGAGAGTGAGAGTGAGAGTGAGAGTGAGAATGACAGTGAGAATGACAGTGAGAATGAGAGTGAGGGTGAGGGTGAGAGTGAGGGTGAGTGAGGGTGAGAGTGAGGGTGAGTGAGGGTGAGTGAGGGTGAGTGAGGGTGAGTGAGGGTGAGTGAGGGTGAGTGAGGGTGAGTGAGGGTGAGTGAGTGGGTGAGTGAGTGAGTGAGTGAGTGAATGAGTGAGTGAGTGAGTGAGTGAGTGAGTGAGAATGAGTGAGGATGAGTGAGTGAGAGTGAGTGAGAGTGAGTGAGGGCGAGTGAGTGAGTGTGAGTGAGTGTGAGTCAGGGTGAGTGAGTGAGTGTGATTGCGTGAGTGTGAGTGAGAGTGAGTGAATGAGTGAGTCAGAGTGAGTGAGAGTGAGTGAGTGTGAGTGAGGGAGGAGGGAGGAGGACGGGAGGAGGACGGGAGGAGGACGGGAGGAGGACCTGAGGAGGACGGGAGGAGGACGGGAGGAGGACGGGAGGAGGACGGGAGGAGGACGAGGCGGCGGGCGGATACAGAACTAAAAACAAAAACCCCACACGTCAATGTGGGGAACAAATCCCAAGTACATCTTGAATTTCGTCTATATATAGGCCCTATACTTCTGGGCTCATCCTATTCAACCTGAAAAATGAATAGAAACAAACATGGTCGAGTTTAAAGCGACTGTCCGCTTTTAGCTTACTGTATGATGACGCTTTCCATCGTTTCTCTACCACTTCATCAGCACACTCAGCTGGCTTCGCTGGAATTGAAAGCGATGCCAAAAAAACAGTCGCAAACCGTCCGACAGCCACGAACTTGCTGCTGGGCCGCAGCGCTGGCAAAAACGATAGACATGTTTTGTTACCTGTGCGTTTTATCCAAAAATTGCCTGTCGGGGAAAAAACAATATATATATATATATGTATATATACATATATTATACCAAATATATAACAAACACATAATTGCACATACCTAGACCCACAATAAACAAGAATCATACAAGAATAATATTGCTGTTGCCCGAACCTTAAAACTGTCAGATTGGTTCTACGAGTACATCAATATCGTTTACTCATGTTGCCTACGGTTTTGCATTATGCACAGTAAATGACAAAATCAGATGGCCAAAAGATAGGTCCAAAAGAGCTTAGAGCTTATGAAATCAGTTTGAGAATGGATGGCAAGTACAACCATATATAAACCTATATACATATTATTGTTTATTTGTCTATGTCATAATTTGTGTTGCCTTCGCGTCCACCTTCCTGACTGTTTTTCCCCACCTGCCAGGTGAGGGTTGTTAGATTTTATCAGAGTTGCTCTTCTCCTCCTCGGCTAGCTGTCCTCCTTCTCCTCCTCCTCCTCCGCCTTCTCCTCCTCCGCCTCCTCCTCTAGTTTCTCCTCGACCATGTCTGCATCAACTTCCACCTCCACTTACGCCTTGCCAACTCTTCGCCAAGCTCTTTGCCAACTCTCTTCGCCAAGCTCTTTGCCAACTTCCCAGCTCAGTGTGCACCGCAGGACCTCAACCTGGGACCTTCCCAGCTCAGTGCGCACTGCTGGACCTCAACCTGGGACCTTCCCAGCTCAGTGTGCACTGCTGGACCTCGACCTGAGACCTTCCCAGCTCAGTGTGCACCGCTGGACCTCAACCTGGGACCTTCCCAGCTCAGTGTGCACCGCTGGACCTCAACCTGGACCTTCCCAGCTCAGTGTGCACCGCTGGACCTCAACGGCCAGATAGAATGCCAGAAGATATGCCAGATAGAGTGTTAGAAGATATGCCAGATAGAATGCCAGAAGATATGCCAGATAAAATGCCATGAGATATGCCAGATAGAATGCCAGAAGCTATGCCAGATAGAATGTTAGAAGATATGCCAGATAGAATGCCAGAAGATATGCCAGATAAAGTGCCAGAATGTTTGCCAGATAGAATGCCAGAAGATTTGCCAGATATAATGCCAGATAGAATGTCAGAAGATATGCCAGAAGATATGCCAGATAGAGTGCCAGAAGATATGCCAGAACATATGCCAGAAGATATGCCAGAAGATATGCCAGATAGAATGCCAGAAGATATGCCAGATATAATGCCAGAAGATTTGCCAGCAACAAAACGTATAAATGTCATGGTGGGGATAACTCGAAGTAAAGTAATTTTTCTGCCTTTCAGGCTAATGCGCCTTTTTGTATTGTGCCTATATCCTGGTGGTGTCGGAACAGCGTGTTCTTCTATCCGACTCATGCTTTCTTACAACATTTAACAAACCAGCTTAAAGCCCTTCAAAAACCTGGGGAGCAAACCCCTGTGGTTTAATGTTTCTATCGGATAGATTACAAGTCTTTCTTGTGTGTTGCATAGCTTAAGTTGTCACTACTTATAAACCACAGTGTGAAGCAGCAATAGGTTCTGAAAACAGCTCAAACTCCCAAAAAAATCCTCAAATATGGTGCTGAATTCCTCAGCACTCGGATGCTACGGCTCTTTTTCGCAACTACCCTCTGGTAATCAAACACTTCAACCCAACGGTACCGGAAAATCTCAGTTTGCAAGATTTGCAAGAGTGTTTTCCATCATTAGATGATTTCCCTGAAATCCAAGGGCTTATCATCGTATTTTCCTAAACCAGAACATGGCCATACATTGAAGTGAATTTTCCATTTTCCGCTCATCCAAATCAACACTAGGCATTTATTTCACGCAGAATTGCCACAGCACCACCTCAGCCCAGTGATCAGACTATGGCATGTCACGCTGGCAATGGAGAAATAAAACACATGGTGCGTCACAAATACACACTGATATAAGAATCGTCCCTCGCAGGCGTAGAGAGAGCTGAGAGACCCATAAATAGCCGGGTTCCCATACGTTATACATGTGCACTGGTCCCAACACCGCTGATAAAAGCTCATCCCAAAACAAAACAAGCTCAACCTCAACCAGACAACAAGCTCAACCTCAACCAGGCCCCATCGCCTTGGTGGAGATTTGTGATGGAAAATGATTGACACATATTGACACCATTCAAACAGCATCCGCAGTCAGGCAGTGTTTTGGACTATGCACCCCTACACCAATCGCACTCAGCAAACGAACTTACTGTCCTTCTCTGTTTCGATGTGCTGTCACATCACCTTGAAGAACCCTCTGCTGAGCCATCTGGCCGTGACCCACGGCTGTAACCGCCGGATCTTGTCCTTCTGCTGTGTAGGTGCCCCGAAGACGATCAAGGAGCCGTGGATTTGGAGGTTCCAAATTGAGCGATGAAATGGACCGCGCCAAAGTTCGCTGGCTGCGGCTGTTGGATTCCATGGGGATGGCCACTACACAGGTTTCTTGATCGGTGGGAAAATATGTGTTCTCAGCTGGGTTGTCTCCTGAAAACCTGAAGCCAGAAAACAAAACAAAGGTCACGCTGTGGTCCCACAAACGGCCACCGATCTAGGAACTTACCCCTCTTCCAGCCAAGTCTTCAGGGATCTTTCGGGACCGGCATGAAACAACATGAAACAACTGTCGTTGTTTAGGGCTCTTGACAGCTTAGACACCGTTCAGTGTTGAGGTATCTGGATTGGTTCAAGGGAAAATGTACAGGAAAACGTACAGGAAAACGTGTTTTTTTTTGTGTGTGTGTGTCTGAAAATGCTGGATACCGTCTTTTATGCCCCAAGAAATATGGAAAATCATGAGAAAACATCAAATTTGGGTATCCAATTTTCAGACACACTGAAACCCACAGCACCTCGCCTGGAGAAAAAGGTGCAAGTCGAGGCATTCCTTCATGCGAGGCCACGCGGCCACCCGTCACCACCCGGGACCGGATGGCTGGGATGGAGATGGGAATATGAAGAATCTGTGCAATTTTTAATCGTTACAAGTGATGTGGCAAACCCCGCCCAAGAAACCAGGGTTTATCAAATGGACGTGTCTGAAATAAAGCCTCGCAAAATTGAGTCATGGTTTACATCATAGTCCCTATTGTCCCTATTCAAATGGCCGATGTAATTTCCCAATTTTCAGACACACACATATCTCACACTGTTGCTTAAATTATGTCCCAGCAAAAATATCCCGTTAAAATATGTCCATCATATCCCCGGTGAGCCATTGCATTCATTGGTCAAATGCCAAATAGATGGTTAAACCATGTTAAACCAGCATGTTTCACCAGTGTTCTTTGTTTGATGGCTAAATCATCCCAACTGCTCATCAGTTTTTGATGGTTAAATTCCATAACGCCAACATTTTTTCTGGTGAACCCCACTGTTGTTCATGATTTTTGCGGCGTCAGTTCATGCCAAGTTTTATGTAGAATGTCTTCCCGACCTCTTCAATTCCATAGCCCTGAAAGTACCAACAAACATGTGCGCATTGTCGTCAAATTACATGGGATTCATGGTTTATAGTCATACGTTGGAATCCAGACATAATTGATATATATATATATATAATCTATTATACACAATAAATGTGTATATATGTATGTATATATATATATATATGTGTATGTAATAGTTACATAGTTATATATATATATAAATAAATCCTGTGAAAATGGTCTGATGGCCATCCACCAAATGGGTAATGACCAATTTGACCATGGCACATGTGGACATAATGGGATCGGATGGGAATGAATGGGATATAGAGTGTTCTAAATATAAAACAGAAATACAATATTTGGGTGTGGTTTCCGAAGCCAAGAGTGATGGAAAAACTATGAAAAACTGATGATCAAAGTCATTGCATTTTGCTGGTGTTCCCATAATCTTCAGACAAAACCACATGAACAAAGGAAAGAAGTCTTAGATATTGTCGTTTTGCACCTTGAAACTGTGACAAAAATCGGTGGTACGAAACATGTCAAATGCCGTCCCGGGATGGGACAGAAACTCTGTGCTGCCACAGATGGGTTTGCCCCAAAAAAGTAGGACACCCATACTAAAACACACAACTTATCATAATTTTCCTTAGCGTTGTCAGACCTCTGGTACTCGATTTCATGTATTGATCGCATATTCTCGTTGCTTAAAGTCCCCGTTATTGGGTGTTTCGGTTGAATCGAAAGGAAGCACCATTGAGATTCGATACATGTATGATATGTATAATATATATATAATTATATATATATATTTATACTGATATACAATGATGTATAATTATACATTGCAAATGATTGACTTTTGATGTTGTATTCATTATCTGTTACATTTATAATTTTGGCATATGTTGATTAGGTTAAACGACTATCTTTGATCTTTTTAAGACGATACGTTATCATGTTGAATCTATTGTTTACGGGGTTGACCTTGCTGAAATGAAACCCCACACCATTGAGATATCCAGGGCACCTCATGGATGTGTCCAGAGAGATGAACCTTCACGTTTCGTTTCCTGGCGACACAACACCCATGTCCCCGCTGGCTGGTCATTTGAGTATGATGTACCATCGTTGCTAAAAATAATAGTTTCAACCAGTCTAGCGCAATCCACTAAAATACGTTAGATATACAAATACATACATCAACCTTCTATTGCAGTACGGTACATTAAATTCCGCTACAAATTACGTACAAATTGCAGTTTTTCAAGTGTCCAGAAGAAACAGCTTGTCATGTACCAATTTAAGATCCTCACCTGATTGGAGGCTTTGGGCCGCACGGACCTATACACCCAAGTGCAGCGTCAGTAATCTTTCTGCATGGCTGCGCTACGTTTTGTGTTAAGTCACATGTTTCGTGAAATGTCGCCGGAAAAAAGAAAAAAACTGCAATAAAACAAAACATATACAGAACTTACATGAACTTACACCATGTGGACCCCATGTTACAAGATCCTTTGCGACATTCTTTGGGAAATCAAAGCTCCTGGGCACGCTGCGGTATGATTTTCGTTCAACAAATCGTTCTCTACAAATCGTTCTCTGGAGGCCACAGAGCCCACCACAGACAGGCATGGCGCATAGACCACACGCACGGCGCACCGACCGCGCACACGGCGCACAGAACGCTTCCTTTCCTGTGCACAATCCTTGCACATCGAGGGAATGAGATTAATTGAGGCAATCTCCACGTACGCCACAAAACAAATAACACTTGTGTAATTATAATTATGTTCAGTGCTTGTGTTGTCAACCATGCTCGAACATCAAATCACCATCTACACGCTACATCCAGACGACTTTCTGCAAGACAGGATGACTTTCCACAGGTACCTGTATGATCACCTGTCGTGCACACACACACACTACAGTACAATATGTGCATCCGTTCGCTGTTCATTTGAACTATATATATATATATTGTTTCTTCACATTTAAACTACAACTATTAATGATGTACATATCTGGGTCCCTGTCTGCCACTATAGCTTTTCAGTTGGAAACCGCTTCAGCCACCGGGCCTGCAAGAAAACGCCTGCAGCACATGAACAACATAAAATGTGTATGTATATATATATATATAGGTAGATAGATAGATAGATAGATAGACAGATAGACAGACAGACAGATAGATAGATAAATAGATAGATAGAAACATATTTCGTGTTTTCTCACTTTGAACATTTTGAAAAATCACACAAATCCTGCCAACCTTGGATACCATGGAGGACAAAAATAAATAATTCATAGCCGAGTTCGGCTGCTCAAAAATCACTATCTTTGTTTCACTGTTTTACTTGTATTGAATCTGTCTCAAAAATCTTAAAACTGTTCTGGGTTTAAAAAAACACCTGAAATCCAGGCTTTCTTTAGGGATTCCCCTTGCTAACCAGTAAGGTTCACCCTTTCAACGGGTCCTGATGGCTTTCAAGAGCTCTTCACAGCCCGCATTCAGGCCGCTTTGGCATTTGTCCAGAATGCCTCAGGTAAAAAAAAGAAAACGTGCTTTAGCGCACGAAAAAAAGGCCGAGGTAGAGCAATGTAAAATTCAACTAATTACAATTTTACCATAGATGGTTTCTATAAACCATCAAAATATCGGTGGTTTATAATTGCTTTCCAATCATTTTAAGAATATGTTCGGACATAGTGGGACTATCATGGGAATACCAAGGATCTATGGCAGAATCGAAAGGCATGTTCACAACGGATTGGTTTTCTTAGGCTGTATAGGTGTCATATCGATTTATCATCCAACAGAGGTTTGCAACATTGCTACAGACCACACTCCGAGGGCATCCTTCCAATCCTGCAGTAAATGGACATTCCAAGACTTGTCTGATAGAAATGATTGGATCTATTGGATCATTTAGGAATCGCTGATTCAATCCCGTGAAAAATCACCGTTAAATCCACGAATTATTGGAACATCATCCATTAGATATAATTATCACCATTAAATCATCCATAAGGATCCATAAGGATCATATTAGTATCATCATCACATCATTAAATCCACTAATTATTGGAATGGATGCCATGTAAGATGGAAACAAATGAGGTCACTGAGACCAAAAAAGGCCGCCGCCTTCTTGGGCACCTATCCCAACAGGGAGGGATGGTTGTTGTACCGCGCCAACATGTTGGTGCTTAACGAGAAACAATGGATCAAGGTAGGTGTGTGTGTGTGTGCGTGTGCATGTATAGGTTGGTTTAGATGGTTTATGCTCATCCCATCTAACATCGTCTAAGTATATATATATATATCTCACTCTCTCTCTCTTGGTTCAAATGTTAGTTCATCTACTTGTTAACATACTGATACCAACCAACTTAGCGACCTGCGGCACCTTCTTGTAGGATGCTCTTCGCCGGGATGCTGTATGCTGGGCCGTGCGTCATAAGAATATCAAGGCTGTCAGGGATCTTTTTCCAAACCTGGAGCAAAAGGCGCTCAAATTGTGGCAGAAATCTCAAAATACGGGCAGTTTTGAAATTTGGTTTGTCTTTGTTTGACTCTTGATGAGAGGTAAAAGGAGAACAATAGTTTCAGATTTGATCTGCTTGAGCTGACAAATGGCGTCCAAATAAGTCCACATGTAGTATATCACGCCTCGGCTTCAAAAGTCGCATCTAAAAGCTGTGTCTTCGGACCCTACAAACATATCTGCTGTAAATGGCCCTTGCCTTGACTGTCTCAGGTTGGATACTGGCCTAACTTGGTTATTTCCATAAGGAAAACATTAGAAATGACACAAAGGTGTATGAACTTCAACATTTTTCATGGCTGTCAAAATGTAAAACCAGGACGACCCACAACTCCACCCACACCATTGGACAGTGCCTTGGCCAATGCTTCCCCACGAGGCAAATTGAAGGCCCAGTCGCAAAACTCGGGTTGCCTTGGGGGAGCGCCAGGGAGAGCGAAAGGGATACCTTTTTGGCACTTGTGGGCTAAGACAGCTGAGACAGTTGAGCCTGAAAATCTTCTGGTTGCCGGTTTCAACAACCTTTCAAATATTGGTCAGTGCGGATCTTCCCAAAAATCACATGCAAAGTCTTCAGAAGATAGTAGACAGACTGCATAGTTTAGCCAACAAAGAAAAATGAAACGAATTGATCGGTGTTCCAAAAACTTGTCGTTCCTTTTGATACTGGTTGGTTGAGAACAGAATTCCCTTGTGGTAATCCTCACATGTTCCAATTCATCTTTTTATTGGATACAGTAGTATAATCATCGAAATAATCATCAACCAACTTCAACAAGGGTCAATCGCAGCCACTGCTCAATTGATTCGGGGATTATCACAACCCTGGGGTTTCAACAACGACTAGCCTCCCGGAATGTCATGTGACGTTCTTTGGGGACATGTTTGTAGGGAACCTGATGCAACCCAACCGTCAACTATCCACCAAAACAGGACTTTGATCATCCCGAACAATTGGAATGTTGAAAATGCTTAGGGAATTATCCTCAATATAGCTCAAGACATCTCAAGATTTTGTCGTTTTGTCCTCTTGGTTGGATGCTACTCGGGTTTCAATGATCCTAAAATTGACACTTTCTGGGACTATTCCCTTGTTTCAATCCATCATTCATGTAAGGTCGGATAATGAGGTCGTCTGTTTGTATCATTTTATGTGTATCTGCATTCATCTGTATTCTGCATACAGAAATGTACACATATTCTGCAGTGATTGTGATTTTCGCATCCTGGTCGCTCTCTTCTTGTGGCCACGTTGCTGATTCATTTTGTTTAAAAAAGAACGCTGGAAGAAATACCACGGAAATAGCAGGCTTCCCCTGAAATTCCCTGCAGCCAATTCTTGGACTATCATGCAGAATCTTCTTGGTTAGCACCAGGGTCGTGTGACGTCCTCCTTGCAATTCGAATGTGTGATTGGCAGGGAAGCCATGCATATCCAGCATAAATTGGAAGCCATCAACTCCCACGGAAACCTCCAGTGTTCCCAGAGTTGATCCCACAATTCGTCAGCAGACCAAGTGTCCAGGGAGAGCCATAGATTCGATACCTGCGGCCCATTTTTTTCTGAGGTAGCCAGGGTGGTTTAATTACCCGGCCCCACACACGTAATGGGAATATATTATATATATATATATACACACACTATATATACATAGATAGATATAGATAGTATATTATATGTGAAACCTATACAACCCTATACAAAATATATAAAAACTGCAATATACAATCCCTTCTCCCTAACATCAAATTCCCCTATGGGCACCTGAAATGAATGGATCTAATGCCCAACCAAGGCTTCTACATTGGGTAGAAGGAAACACAAATTAGGTATGGACACACAAAATCATAGTTTTTGTTGGTATCATTTGGTATCAATCTTTGAAATGATGCATTTCTTTATCTCATTCACCATTCATCCCTTCTCCCAATACTAAATACCACGAAAACAGCCTGGTTTCGTCCATTCTTGGGTACCGGATGGATGGATTTCTTGTGATTTGTGTCTCCCGCCAGTGATATCAAGTCAGTTGAGGCAGCCAAAGGGCCCAAAAACTTCCACGAATTCATCTTCCAAATATGTACAACTTCCTCAGCTTGCGCGCAGAAAGTGGGAAGGGGCCACCACCTTTCTGATCAACAAAATTGGCATGGTGACCCACCAGTGAAACCAACGAACACGGAGTTTGAACTAAGAAAATTGAAGGGGATCGGGATCGCCGGCAAAAAACACAACTGAACACATCTTGAAACTGGCAGGTTAGAACGGTTAGGACGAGGTGACAGGATTGGTTAAAGGGATGTGCTATAGATGTTCTTTACTTGAAGTGTTTAGTGTCTTATATTTTAATTCATCGTGCAGTGATAGAGTTGTGGACAAATATCATATATTATATTAAAAATATGTTAAGCATTGTTCGGACTTCCATCTGTATTTTTCAACAATTTCTGTGAAATTAAAGAAACCGGTGGAACATGGATGGCAATATTTCCAGTGATGCCACAACGACGCACCTTTTCCGCTGACTGCTGGATCTCGAATAACCGACCGCCCAATGACCTCTTTCTGGCTTTGAGCCCATGCTTTGGACGTCCGACTTCTTTCATGTCTTAATCACAGTTTCAAATCGTGTCCTATGGGTTTTGGCATCGTTGGACCCACCTGCAGCGTAAGCCTCATTGACACAAAATTCACAAATTCCATTGTTTCACAAAAAATACTCATAATTTTCATTGATTTCAGACTAGATTTGTTCATCCAATGTCGTTGACGCTGGGTTTTTCCCAAATCAATCGCCCGGCTCACAGCTCTAGATGCTCGTCACAGTTGAGGCGAATCGAGGTCTCGCCCACGCTAAGATGCAGAAAATGCGGCGCCTCTGGAGGTAAGCAACCACACATCCTGGAGATCTGGAGGCAGTTTGCGGGTCGCCCTTGGCGTTTTTCATGTTTTTCCATGGTGAATGTTAGGTGTGTCACAATGTGCCATGAGTACATGAATACAAATTCCATGACTACCTGAAATCAATTTGGGGATCATGGGGAGCCATCCAGCCAGATCCAATCAGGTTTGGTTCTAATACTACCATCCATGTCCAGATCATCCGTGTATGGTGCTATGAAACTGGGTACTCCCTGGTAAGTTCGCTATTTATGGAAACCATGGCCCATTTGTAGATGATAAACATGATGATTTACCGATTTACCCAGAGAGCGAGCAAACGTGCTTCATTCTGGTTTTCGAAAAAGCAGTCGCTTGCAGCCGCTTGCAGCCACTTGCTCAAGCAGCCACTTGCAGCCACTTCTGCAGCCACTTGCTCAAACTGCCAGTCTGCAAGTTGGCGCAAGTGGCTGCAAGTGGCTGCAAGTGTGGCTGCAAGTGGCTCCGGGGCAAGTGTCTGCGAGTGGCTGCAAGTGGCTGCGCGTGGCTGCTTGCGCAAGTGGCTGCAAGTGGTTGCAAGTGGCTGCAAGTGGCTGCTTGGGGCTGCTTGTGGCTGCTTGTGGCTGCAAGTGGCTGCAAGCAGCTGCAAGTGGCTGCAAGTGTTTGCAGCTGTCTGCAGCGAATCGTATAACCATTTGCAGATATGTGCCATCTTGAAAAAAATGCATTTTAGACCAGTAAATTTTCGCTTTTTTTCAAGATTGTCTGTAGTAGAGGGCTATAGCAGCCACCAAGCAGCAGCTACCCGTCCGTCCCGATTGAAACATAGGCATAAAAGGTTGTTTCGGCAAAAAAAAGTCTCAGAGGGCCAAACTGTTCGTATTTGAGGGTCAACGCTCACTTGCAGCCAGCGGACTTACGACTACCTGCTATGTAATTTTTGTTGTTTTTATTTTTTTAAAATAATGGTTTAGCTTAGCCGGTGTCTAAGAAACGTCGTTTGTAAGTCGCCGTGTCGCGCATTATAACACCTTTACGCGTGACTTTGGTTGCTGATCATTTCATCGTTGATGTAAATGGGTGGAGGTTAGAGTTCCATAGCCATAGCAATGTTATATATTCATTTTATAAAATAGGCTCTGCTGAGTTGTGAAGTTGAGTCTTTTGTGCCGTGCGGTAGCTCTCTCCTCTTACCGCTGCACATATCACTGATTTTTTTTCATAAAAACCTTTGCTAGACTACCTTGCTCATGCCTTGTCAAAATCATCAAACCACAGACGAAAACAAATAACTAACATGTCTCACATTTTTTCACAGCGACACTGGACGTGTCCATAGAAAGTTTGGATCATCAGCTCCACAATCACATGCGCCAGAGGCAGTGCCGGATCAACACGTTAAGACCATGGCATTTTTCAAGGAAATTAAACAACCACATCTAGAGTCAAAGAAAAAGCTCGTGGGTCATCCAGGGACACAATGCAAAGATCGGCACAGCTGTGTGCAATGTGTACTAATTGTTTACCTTTGGATCTCAAATGCCGTTTGCTGCGCTCGCAAATTATTCTGATCATTTCTGATCAGTGTATGACTGGACACCGAGGCCGTACCACTTGTTCGAGCAGGTATTGCTTCCAGTTCATACGTTGGTGCTACACAAAAGGGCACAGCCACGGTTAATTTTGTTTATTGCACCAAGACAAAAAATTCAAAGCAGATTATAAACCCCTACCTTGCTGACATTTAGCATCTTTTGATTTTTCTTTATCCGTCCATCTGTCTACCTTTCTGTCTGATGTACTCATGTCTGTACGTCTCTTTATATGGTTGCTGTGTGGGTGGAACCTTAATGTGTGGCCGTGGCGTATCTTCCAAACTATATTTTGTACGTGGCGCAGTAGTCTTTTCATGCCGACTGTTTCTACGCGAAGAGTTCCCTAATTGACATTCTCCATGGGCATTGATGCATGAGTTTATTCATGTGACGACAGCATTGTCCTTGTCTCCAGTAGCGCTTCCAAGTCGACGATTTTGCCGCACCAGTTCAGGGTTTTGTGCCTCCAAGAGCTGTAGTTGTTGTGAGTATAGGAGGTCCGAGTTGTCATTGTCGTGACCGAGTCTCAGGCAGTCATCACCAATGCAGGCAGTCATCACCAATGCGGGCTGCCAGTGCATCCCTCAGAACCTGCATAGGTGTCGCGAGGAGGTATCGGCAGGTGTCATGCCAGGTTTTCCTGGCAGCGCAGCTGGTATGAATAGTTGTATTATGTGGGTTTAGTCGCTGTGTCATGGCGTTGTCATCCCGTCATTGACTTCATTTCTTTTGTGCTAGTTCCAGCAGGACATGCATTTCTATTTCTGCTGAGATCGAATCTAGTAAATCAAGACATGTAATGAAGAAATGAAACCAGCAACAATAGTCTGAGATCAAAGAAATATCCAAGACACATCTGTTGCAGCACTCGGATGGCTAGTGCAGACTTTCCGCACCCGGGTCCAGCTTTGATTGCGTATGCACGGTAGTGGTCTTCAGGTGGAAGTTCCGTCCACATGCCCATGGCTTGCCGCAGGCATCGTGTCAAGTCATCTCTTCCCTGCGGCTTATTGGTATATGTTCTGACTGGTATACTTATCAGACCTCAAAACAGAATGGTCTATGTCAGAACTGGGTGGCTGCGTGCTCTTGCTCCAAGCACTTGTGTTGTTGTTTTCACTTCTCAACGGGTTTCCATCATGAATTCAAAACTGGTAGCAGCAAGTAAAGCATAGTAAATGTTTGCAAGCATAGGAAGTCTCAATTGGATTCTGCTGTCCTGGTAGACCTGCACAATCGAACCCCACGGCGGCGTCATGTTCCGCATGGCAGATAATGCCCTCCAGGTCCAATGGCTCCGTTGGATAGGGTCCAAAATAATCATCGCCAACTCGGCGTCCTGTGGCGCCTTTGGTTCAATCTCGAAATTGTCATTGTCGGCATTGACTAGCTGGCCACTGCAGTCATAGATTGTATTGACAATGAAGTCATTCTACAATGAATATCCTAGTTACTACGGTAAACCCAACACAAAAGAAACTGTCTCCAACAGATGTTTATTGTTCAGAGTATCTCTATTTTGGATGAGGCAAAATGACTCCCAAATAGGGTGCTTGCATACATGCATGGATTCATGACCATCCACCACATCTGCCAAGCGTCCGTCAGCAACGATCCGAGAGTTATTGGCTGTGGAAACAGAGGATTCCAAAACACCCTGCGTAATGGTGCAGTAAACAATATGCAATGTACTGTACAAACCTGTTTAGGACATACAAAGGTCTAGATCTTTATGATTTCGGAGGAATATCTAGCCATCTTGTTCTCACCTTTTTGTAGCTCTTCCAGAAGGCAATGTAATGACACAAGATATTGCGCTGTTGCCCTGCTGTGCTGTCAATCTTCATGTCAAGCGCCAGGAGCCATCTTTCGGGCACGCACTTGCATCATAAAAGTTCCATCGTGAGGAACATCACAATATCTCTCAACAAAATAGAAAGGAAAATTGCCACTTGCTTCGTCGAATGCTACGTTTTAATCGTTTTGGGGAGTTGCTATCACATCGTTCTTTGGTCTACGGAATTCGCTACGAACTGTCTCGTAATAATCTATCATTCCTTAGCACTTGGCATCTCGCGCATTCAAATCTTGAAAAAAATCCACAATGACGCTTTGTTTTCAAGATGGCACGTGGCTGCAATTGGCTACAAGTCGCTGCAGATGGCTGCAATCACATGCTTCCACATGCAGCCACTTCCAGCAACTTGCAGCCACTTCCCCAAGCAGCCACTTGCAGCCACAAGCAACCACTTGCAACCACTTGCAGCTACAAGCAGCCACTTGCAGCCACTTGCAACCACTTGCCCAAGCAGCCACAAGCAGCCACTCGCAGCCATTTGCAGCCACAAGCAGCCACAAGCAGCCAGTTGCAACCACTTGCCCAAGCAGCCACTTGCAGCCACAAGCAGCCACAAGCAGCCACAAGCAGCCACTGGCAAGTGGCTGCAAGTGGCTGCAAGTGGCTGTTTTTTTTAAAAAAAATAAAACTGTGCACCTTCTGCACCCACAATGGATTTACCTATTATATAACATTGTGATGTTCAATAGCTATTATTTAAATTACCAGAGAGTACATGTTGTGAGTTCGTTTTGTTGGGCCGAATGGATGATCTGGGTGTATCCTCACAGCCAATACCTCACAACTACTTGGTATATCCTTTGTTGGCTCATACATGACAATTGTATACAATGATTATTCTTTCTGAATCTACCCAACTATATAATTCCTACTAACAAGAATGGTAGGTATGTGTCATCCCACAATCTCATGGTTGATCATCAGGTTCTCCGTACAACAAATGTTTTGACCCAGAGATTACAATGCAGAATGTATAGATATTGTGGTGGGTAATTTTTGGTACCAGCTCCAAGAAAAGTGACACCCCCCCCTCCCCAATGATAAGTTAATTTATACACAAACCCTAGATATATCCACCATCTTCCACCCTAAATCCAACAGATTTCAACAGATATTGAAATTGTACTGTTTAAACCAACAAAACCAACAATCATAGCACTCCACATTGCACGACAATTGTGGATGATCCAGGATGCTCCTGGGGTTGGCATCCACATGCAACACGCGCATCTTGGGTCGCTTCATCAATGCCGCAATCACGTCCACACCCTCCGGGCACTGCAAGTCGTTCAACTGCACCTGAAAGCGCTGCTGACTCGGAAAACAGCAAAACAGTTTCCACAACTGGATTAATTAACATCGTAATCCCACGCCATAAACCATTTGGGGATGGTTTATACAATTTACGATGATATTGGGGATAGTTTATACAATTTACGATGTAAGTCCCATCAGTCTATTTGAGTGTACTTTTGGAACATGTTGTGACCCCAGCTATTTTTTCGGGGATGTTTGGATGGGTATAACTGGATCTTACCCCAGCCATGATATTCATGGCTAAAATATGCTAGAATCCCAGTCGTTGATAGCCAAAGCATGCAAAAATCATCAGAATCCCATCTTCCATAGCACTAAGCCCACCAAAGGGGCACCCTCCAGCCCCGGCCACCTGTAGCTGCGTCAAGTTCTCCAAGGTCGTCAGGGACAAGGGCAGCGCTCCCGAAAGCTTCAGATCGTGCAGATCCAAAGAGCGCAGGTGGGGCCAGAGCTCTGGCAGCTGCCTGCAGCTGATATGGTTGATCAACTTTGATATCATACCTGGCAACCCTCTAGATTAATTTGTTCCAATCCGTTTCCCAAAACATTTTTTTTAGAAACAGATCATGTTCTTTTCCAATCTAAGGATGTACCAGGTAGTGATTGATCAGTATAATGTTCATATCATGTTGGATATCACTATGATATCTCCAAGTGAAACCAAAATGGTTGATATCAATCATAATGTTTATTGATCAATCAACATGGATATCATAGTGATATCCAAAAACATGGAAAATGTACCATCTATGACGATTTATACTGATAATTTATGATTATTTAGTTATTAAACATTGTGATTTTTTTCATAGCTATGTTTGTTTACCAGAGGGTGTCACCCAGATTTTAAATCTCCGAGATGAGTGTTTTAAGGGGAATAATAGCTCGAAATAACAAACCAAAAAGACAAACTATTTACGCCACACAGAAAATTGGAACTGGTGGAAGTGGTGGAACTTTTGTAGCGTCAATGTTCGACCCCAAATCCTAAATCATCGGGTGCTGTCAAACTCCGTGAAGTATAGCTTTGTAAGTGTGGAGCATCATTCCAGGATGGAAAATAGCACATATTTGAAACCACCCACCAGTTTCATGTGTTCAATATTTACTAACATCTACCTCTAAAAGGTTAGTAGGAGTATATCCAACTGATGAATATATGTATGTATATATATATATATTTACAACCAACCAACTTCCATGACCCGCCCCATCTTGAAACTCGCAAAGCGTCTCTGGAATGGTGCCATAAATGAAATTGGCATCCTGAGCGCCACAACTGGGCAGAAGGAGTGGCGAAGAGGGAGGGTGGCTTCGTCCACAAAGGGGGGAAACCATGGGAGTTTTCCCCTAAAATCCATGAGTGGTATCACTTTTCCTCTATGAATTAGCAGTAAATGCGGCAAGAGAATTAGCAGGAAATGTCCAGGTACCTCATTCTTGGAAACACCCAGAACGACTTCCCAAAGTGTCAAGAACTGATAGACAAATCGACGATTTAATTCAACCACCTGGCTTGTTGGAAGTGCACAAATAGTGGGCAATGCTAAACCAAGGATTCTAATGGCGGATAGCTAATATTAGGGGAAAGGTGTTTAACAGGTAAAAACCCACATGCATCGGTAATTGAATTTGCCAAAGCTATCCGTTTCAAATTGTTCCAGACTTAGCAGTGATTTAACTTCTTGAGGCAAAGGTAAACCCTGTAGGGGCTTTACAGAATGACCTAGGTAGATAGATAGATAGATAGATAGATAGATAGATAGATAGATAGATGGATAGATGGATAGATCGATAGATAGATAGACAGACAGACAAACAGATAGGCAGGCAGATAGACAGAGAGACAGATAGATATATAATTGTTGTATGTTCACATATAATAAATAATTATCTATAGTTCTAAATATATAATGAAATATAGTTATATAATATATAATTATTTAAAGCTATATAATATATAATGATATATAGTTATAATATATAATATATACTTATTTATAGTTATATAATATGTAATTGTAAATAGTTATATAATAAAAAATATATAGTTATAATATATATATACATATGTTATATACACATATAACTGGGGTATATTCCGCTATGTAATCCAACTGGCTTGTTTCATATGCTGGCCAGCCAGTTCCTGTTCAGTTCCTAGGTCCCCAAATCATCCGAGAAATGCGTCCAATATCTTGGAATATCTTCGAACGTCGAAGTAGCTTAGAATATCATTGGAATATCCTAGAAGTGTAGTCCCAACATCATTTGGTTTATCGGAAAGAACAAAAAAACATTGGATAATCGTAGAACCATCATGTGGCTGGGAAACTCAATTCGTAACTCCGAATCGCTCCCCATGTGATATGGGCCACGGTCAATATTTAGTATATAGCTCCAGGTCATCAATTTTTGAAGAGTGTATTGTTGTTTTCAAGTTTTAGGAATATAGCAAATGTTATTGTTTTTTCAAGAGTGTATTATCGTTTTCCAAGCCCCAGCTCAATTTTCAAAAAATAAAGATGTCTCGAATTCTACTTTCCATTATGGCAAATTTTGGCTGTACCCCAAATACAGCACAACTGAATATGGATAATTTATGATAATTTTGGATCCTTAGCTCCCTCTTAACCACCAGAGAATATCTTGAAATCCCATTAATATCATTTAATAACCTTAATAACCCATTCATATCCCACCCTTAAGCCTTAAGTCACCATGAATATCCCATGAATCTTATCAATCCCAGGCTCAATATGCATCTTCTCCAAGGACTGCCAGTTCCACCAGGGCAGCGTCATGTCATCCATCTGCAGATTCCAGCCATGCACCGGGCAGCGCCACACGGGCGACTCCGGCGCATCGGCACGCGCCACATAGCCGGGAACGCAGTCTGTCCTGGGTCTGCTGGGTCTGCTGGGTCTGCTGGGTCTGCTGGGTCTGCTGGGGTGTGGGGATGGATTTGAAAAATGATACAGCCATGTTAAGATGGGTATAATGGCATTACTCTGGTAGACTACGGTATAACATATTATAACTATGGTAGAACGGTAGAACTATGGTAATAATTATGGTAATAACTGTAGGGTAAACATACAAAAGATGTGGAAAACCCGTGGTTTACTTTGGAAAATCTTGGTTAAAAAGAGATATATATATATATATATATGTATACATGAGGGGGGTCCTCATCTATGTTAAGTTAGTTTACCCTAGGGTAACTTGACCGATCTTTAACCAGCAAACATGGAATACAATCATTTCTGTTGGGGTTAGTGGTATATTTGATCGGATATCTCAACAACAGAACAATATTTGGGACATTTTGGGACTGTCCAAAAACTGGGCTATACCCTAACAAAATAGCAATTTTAAACGGAACATGATGGTAGACCGCTTGATAGTGTGTTTATCGATCTTCAACAGATCGAACCCAGTGCGCTGCTTTTTCTGAATGCTCATTCAAAACGTATTCCAAATCAATTGACCGATCTTGGAAAGTAAGTGCAACACATTACATGGACTTGTGAGAAAATAGGGTACCCCAAAAATCCACTGATTGATCCATTTTCAGCACCAACAGTTTGACGCCCAGTCCTGTTGGGTAGCCAATCTCCAGGACACGCGGCTTCATCATCAGCATTCAGCCTGCGGTGGAATTTGTGCCGGTTTTCAATTCATCCCCGGGAACATCGAGGCTACGGAAGACAACAATTCAAACATATATTCAACCATAGTAATATATATATATTAATCATATATTGAAACTACCAAAGAGACATTGAGATTATTTTCCAAGAAAACTTTTTCATCACCATGGAAACCGTTAAGTTTTTCTGTGTCGCTTCACCACAAAGCATCCCAGGGATCACGGGATCGTCCTCCGAGCATCATAGTTGCTTGGTGCAAAACCAATGATCTCAAAACTGTAAATACATAAATAAATATCCATCTATCTATCTATCTATCAATCTATCTATCTATATTTATATATAATAGTACATTTAACAATACAATAACTATATTATGTTATAATCCGGAAAAAACTCAGTTGTTGCGGTACCTATGTGATCCAAACTCATGGTTTGCTCGTTAACTCCAAAGGAAAATAATGCTCGCTCGGCCACGCAGTTGCCATATGTAGCCATATAAAGAATCCAACTAGATGCAAATGTTGTTGGATCAATCCGACTGTTTCTTGGATGTACATCCCATCTACACTAGTCGGTAGTTGATAACATGTAAAAAAATGGGACACACACACACACACGGACACACCAGTTGTATGAGATGATCAAACCACTTCCTAAGTTGGATGCACATTCAAGTGTCCATGTTATGCCGCTGGAATCTTAAGCTGTTCAGTCTGGCCTCCCTTGTTCGAAGGCTTCGAAAACCTTCAACTCTTTCAAGTTGCTTAAGGTGCTTGGCAGGGAAGCGCTTCCCGTCAGGTTGCAACCCACCACTTTCCTTGGAAGCACATGGGGGATGAAAGCTAGCTACCCTACTTTTTGACAGCTTCACCAACGAAACTGACTAGGAACTAGGGGATACAACAATCATCAACAATCATTATTCAGTATATCGCCGGCCAAAATGTGCAGCACAACCTGATGACACTGGGATGGTTTCATACTATGCCCCAAGTCTGCGGGTCCGTCGCCTACAGTGGCCCCGTTCCAAGCTGGTTCATTTTAACCCATTCCACTGTAAATTGACCTAACTACTACCCTCGGGTAATCAAACATAGCAATTGAAAATGGCACATCTATGGATAATCAACCCCCCTAATAAAAAACCAAATATATATATATATATATATAGATAGATAGATTGAGATAGTTTGGGAATTTCCCCAGCTAGCCATATTTGATATGGCTAAACGTCTAAAACTCCCGTAAAACCACCATTTTGGATGGTGAAATCCCATAAAACTTTGTATATATATATATAAATAACTACCATCTTGGGGATATAATAAATGGTATAATAATAATTGTAGCTCGAAACCAACAGAAACCTATCTTGGGGGCCTCACATTATATCTGGCGAGTTTTGGGATGCTTAGTCAGTGGAGTCGCCACCGGGTATTCCTATAGCAACTCACCAAATGATGATTGAACAGTGATCTTCAGTCATTGTTGGACACATCTTAAAGCACTAATAATTTTACCAAAACATCAAAAAACCATGTGTTTGCATATGTTGTTGACGTTTAAAATCCCTAAGAATTCGTGTGTGCCAACCGTTGCAACCCAACGGTTCAACTCAAGTTTCACATGGACCAGTTCCGAGAGGTTGCCCATGCACGCTGGAAAGGCCATCAAGGATTCCGTTCCGTCAGAGGCCTGAAACGAATTGCCGAGTCATTTGCTCAAGCAAAAATCCTCAGTCAAGCATTTGGCACAGTACTGAAGAGATTCAATATATTTCAATTAGCAACTTAATTACACAGGGAGGGTCATTGTTCACTCTCATGTTCCATGGTTGGTTGGGAAGGGAGGCAACAGTTGCTGTGCTCCAGGAGTAACGTGAGTGCAGTCGTGTGATTGGTTGTGGCGATTGTTTTCCCAAAAGTCACTCAACATCAACCCATAAAACGATCACAAACTCATCTGCAGTAAACAGTGAAAGAAAAGGGCCCTTTTGGGGCTTGGTGATCATTCATCTAAAGAAATTGGTCCCCATGTCTTTCAAATTTGCAATCGTTTGAACCATACCAAGATTTTCCCACTTAATATCCTCTTGCTGGACAATCTTGGAGGATTCAAACAATGATTTGCACAATTTCAAATGGATTAATATGCATGTTCTCAACGTCCAAGCTCAGTCCCAACCCTATAACATCTTGATAGTTGCCATTCAATATAGTTATTTACCAACAGTTCCAAAATAAATCATATATATATATACATTATATAATATATTATAGTATAAGATATATATAAGATATTATACATTATATATTAAATATTCTATATTGAATATTATATATTATAAAAACAATGTTTTAATGTTATATGACATCTTAATTATTATATCGTATATATTAAATCCTATTTAACATATATTCTATATTATATATTATTTATTATATATTATAAAATATATAATTTTAAATATTATATATATGATATAAGATATAAGATATTATATATAATATATATATATATATAAGATGCTGTAAGATGGAAGAAAATCACCAGTTGAGGGATCTGGTATTTATCCCATTATAGGCCTTCAGCATGTTTCAAGCCCAAGGTGGTGCCATCCGTCCCGTTGCTGGAGGCCTCGGCGCCGCCAAAGGTCAAATAACGCAGTTTCCGCAGCTGGCACAGCATCTGTACCATGGGGCCTGAAAAACTCCATGGGCCCCGGCGTGTGACGTTGGATAAGTGACATGACAAAACAAGAAAAATGTGATGTCAAGTGTGATGGGGAACCAAGAAATAATATATATATATATATTTATATATATATATATAGTGACTATACAAAAACCAAGAAATCTCAAGTCCTAGTAATTACACTGAATTATGTTACATACTATGTTTGGAAACGGTTTGGGGAAGGTTCAGAATCCTTAGTAGTTCGATGTGTCTACCAGAAAGCCTAGTTATTGGAGTTATGTTCAGCGTCTTTGTGAACTAAGGCACCACCTTGTGGCCACAGTGAGTCATAGCCGCGGGGAATTTGGAGAATTCTAAGCAACAATGCAACAAACCAGAAACCGTAACCAAAAATGGTGGGTATAAAAGCAGCCATGATATGATCATATTGATGTAAGACGGGATATCATGGGATACATGGCCAACAACAAGATGGGTCTGCAGGGTCTGCTGTAAAAGGGGTTTGGCACCCGAATTCATTGCATTTCAACGGAAAACAGACAGAATGGGGTAATTACCTAAAATTAACTACAATCACCAACTAGTTGTCCAATGTTGTCCAGAGGTTCATTACTCTAGATGTCCATTGGCCATTGGTGGTCAACACATGCCGAAAGTGTCGATTCCCTTGAAATCTTGAAACGGATTGAAGTTTGGCTGAGTCCTGGGCCTCCAACTTTCCGCCACTGGCCAACAAAACACGTTCACCAACCTTTCACCAGTGGCCTACCCATGTCTGCATCACTGTCAGTGGCTGCATCCCAATTCACCGAAGGAAGTTTAGAAGTCAAACTTCCGACAATATCGACAGATGAAAAGCAGCGATGGGAAGAGTCAGAGAAGAGAAGAGTCAGAGAAGAGAAGAGAAGAGAAGAAGAAAGAAGCTCAAAAAGAGAAAGTCTCAGAAGAAAGAAGACCAGGTGCGCGAAAAGGTAGGAAAGTCGCGAAACACTGCGTTTTTCCAATGATTTGTGGCTCCGGAAGGTTGAAAAGTAGGCTTGCTAAAGCGGCGGGTGCGGAGCCAGCTGGCCAGATGAGAGATGAAAAATTGCACGCCGTTGTGGCGCGAAGCACATTTCCAAGTCAAAATGTGCAAAACACATCATGTTCGGACCACTTTTGGAAGTTGAGATATCGAATAAGTGTACGCCGTTGTGGTGCGAAGCACATTTCGAAGTCAAAATGTTAAAAACACCGCATGCTGGGACCAATTCTTGACGTTCAGATGTCCTCTCGCGTGGCAGGCGCACGGGATTGTGCACCTTGTCAAAAGTGAGCAAAACGTGACAGTCTTGTAGCATTTCCAAAAGCGATGGCAGGCGTGGGACATTTCAAGGGGATCTTCAAAGATGCATTTTCCGTGGCAGGCGCCATACAAGAGACATGTTCATCAGAGCTGTTAGGAGGTCTGGGCGCTGATTTCCTGAGAGAGGTTGCATTTTGGAGCATCAGATCTTCAGGTTTGCTGAGATTTTGCGTGACAGGTGCAGCACTTCGTATGACCTGGCACCACTTTTTCGTCGCAGGCGCAGTACTTTAGACAGGTGGAGTGCAAAAATCGCAAAACGCATTGGTATACGAGGCCGTCAGCTCTGCACTCAACTGTCTATTTTTGAAGGAGGTCTCGCACAATTGCTTCGTTTTTGATGCTGCCAACTTCAAAATATGAGGAAGTGTCGCAGAATTACTTCGTTTTTGACGTTGTCAAGTTCAAAAATTGACTTCCTCGCAGAAGCGCTTCGTGTTTTGATGTTGTCAAGTTCAAAAACTGAGGAAGTCTCGCAGAATAGCTTCGTTTGCAAGCTTGCAGATAGACAGATAGATAGAAAGACAGCTCCAACTGCAACTACAACTACAAGTACCACTACACTACACTACACTACACTACTACTACAACTACAAGTACAAATATACTACGCTATATTACACAACACTAATTACACTACGCTACACTAATTACATCTAACTATGCTACACTACACAAATTACACTACAACTACTACAACAAAAACTACTACAACAGCAACTCCTATTACTACTACTACTACTACTACTACTACTACTACTACTACTACTACTACTACTACTACTACTACTACTACTACTACTACTACTACATACTACTACATACTACTACATACTACTACTACTACTACTACTACTACTACTACATACTACTACATACTACTACTACTACTACTACTACTACTACTACTCCTGCTGCTACTACTACTACTACTACGACTACTACTACGACTACTACTACGACTACTACTACGACTACTACTACTACTACTACTATTACTACTCCTGCTACTACTACTACTACTACTACCACTACCACTACCACTACTACTACTACTACTACTACTACTACTCCTGCTACTACTACTACTACGACGACTACTACTACTACTACTACTACTACGACTACCACTACCACTACTACTACTACTTCTTCTACTACTACTACTACTACGACTACGACTACTACTACTACTACTACTACTAGTACTACGACTACCACTACCACTACCACTACTACTACTACTTCTTCTACTAGTACTAGTACTAGTACTAGTACTAGTACTAGTACTAGTACTACTAGTACTACTACTACTACTACTACTACTCCTGCTACTACTACTACTACTTCTTCTACTACTACTACTAACTACTACTAACTACTACTACTACTACTACTACTACTACTACTACTACTACTACTACTACTACTACTCCTGCTACTACTACTACTACTACTACTACGACTACCACTACCACTACTACTACTACTACTTCTTCTACTACTACTACTCCTGCTACTACTACTACTACTACTTCTACTACTACTACTACTACTACTACCACGACCACCACCACCACCACCACCACCACAACTACAATTACACACCTACACTACATTACACTACAATACACTGATTAAACTGCAGTACATTACAGCTACAACTACAACTACAACTACACTACATTACACAACACTACGCTACACTAATTACATTACATTCCACTAAAGCTGCAACTACCACTACATTGCACTACACGACACTACACTACAACTACCACTACGCTACTCTACCTTACAATACACTAGACTACACTAATTACACTATACCACGCTACAGTACACAACACTACAGAACACTACACTAATTACACCACACCACAACTACAACTGCAACTGCAACTACACTACACTAATTACACTACTTTACAACTACAACTTAAAACTACAACTCCACTACACTACAACTACAACCACACCTACAACTACAACTGCACTACACCACACTACATCCAGCAGTTGTGGGTGAGGTGACCACTGCCACCATTGCAGCCACTCCAGAAAAAACAACTCCAACCACCTTTCGGTCCATCAGTGGATTCGCTCTGCCATCCGTGATTCACAACAACCAACCTCTCCTATAGGCTTACTATTTTTGAAACTTCCGCCACCGCCTTGTGCGGTACTACTGGTGTAACATGTCGTCACTTTCACACCCACGTTTGTTCTGGTACAAGTATATTCAAATTCCTGATCAATGTTTCCGATAAGTCAACTTCTCTTCACCTTTGGGTTCACCCAAATCTTTGAAGTAAATCCAATCGTGTTTCTTAGATAAAGCCTGATAAAACCCCATCTTCAATCGGTTCAACCCCTTGATGCTAAAACTCCCTTAGTCTTCTATTCACTTCTCATGGTTTCCCCCAAAAAAAACACATGGGGATATATGGGGTGTTTTTACCCCCTCGGCTCCTTCCGGCAGAGCATGACCGAGTAACCAGAGGTGGGCGCATGCAGATGCAAGGCCAGAATCGAGCTACTCCAGCTGTGCAGCTGGGGATATAGCACGAGATCCTTGGCCGATCCCAAGGCCCGAAAAGCTGAGGCAAAGAACATGGTGAACGATGAGATTTGATGAGGGATATGGATGGGTTTCCGTGTTTCCGTTGTTTTCCTCAGTCTTTCCGTGGATACCCACAATATAATCCATCTAATTTTTCATTTTTTTCCGGATCCAAGAAATCAATTGAAATCAACCATCCAGCGAGCACCCAGCCCTTTTTCACTGGCGGGACCTCACTGGCTGGCAGATCGGCAGGATGATTAAAAGATTCGATCGCAGTGAGCCACTGCAAGTGGAAGAAACTTTGAAAAAAGGAAGTTGATACCACTATAAACAAGTAACCACAAGAAAGGTATGATAGAAACTTTGGAAAGCTGGAAATATTTGGAAAAACAACAAGTCTGCCTACACCATCCTGGAAACACGATTCTTTCCTTTTGCAGATGCTATATAGTGATGTTAAATTCCACAAAAAAGCAGAACAGGTTGAACTTACACCATACTCAGGTTCGAACTTTGTGCGTCTATGTTTGTTCCATTGGGTTGCGTTTGACAATGATATCACATACGTGTATATATAATGAATTATATATACAATAAAATCTATATATATATATAACAGTTATACATATACGTATATATAATTATATGCAAATAAAAAACATATTCCACATCATAGATGATAAAGTAGTACTGGTCATGAGTAACATATAATCATTATATATAATAGATCATAAACGTACACATAACCAAAATAATAACGTATAATATTATAATAGCTAATTTAATAACTAACAAGATATAATCTTCAAAATCCAATCATCCTTTTCTCCTATGATAAAAACATATTTGCTATACCCCCAATGGTGGACTTGGCGAAGTATACTGACCCCAGTATGGCAAACCGCAAGGCCAAACATTGAGTTCACTACGGACCATGAGATGTTAGGGCCGTTCACTCTGGATATGGGGCAAACATAGGGTCCCAATGGAGTCACAAGATTGGTGTAGTTTGGTTGAAGTTGAAACCATCTATTTCGGGGGGACCATCATCGTTAAGCGGCAGAACTGGCATAGCAGTTCAAGGGGCAATAGATTTGACCTTGATTCCTAGGAGGCGGATGCAACCAATTTGAACCCCAAAAAAAAAAACACTTTTGGATGCCAACTGCCAGTAAAGAAAGGGATAGGACCAATGACTCACTCAAGAAAGATATCAGATATGGCTATACAGTGATGAGATGTGATGTTTTTGTATGGGATTCACCGAGAATAACCTGCTCAAAACCCGCTAGCGCATGGGTTCAACCCACTCTAGAAAGGGGTGGCAATGGAAGAGTTTGTTCACCCAACAAAAATACCTTGAAACGGCACTACGCGGATGGTCCATATCTAGTGAATTGAATCCAGCTGACTTCGACGCGTTCAATTCCAAAAGTTTACTCAACAGTTGGGGTTCATCATTCCTAATAGAGATGCTCAGAATTAGAAAATAAAATAAGTGGGAGCCAGGCAGATCAACCTGATACAATGTGATTCACATCAAAAAGGTGTCTGTTGCCAGAAAAAACGATGAGAACGTTCATCCAACTCCAACTGTTGGCTTTTTGGTGGAAATGGCCTTAATCGGAAATCCACAGATGCTAGTGCCACTGCGGTTAACACACAAATAATTCATGGAGTCATTGAACCGTACTTGGACACACACCCAAATGACCATGATTCCCTTCACAGGAAACTTTGGGCGTCCCCAAGCCGGTTGTATCCCCATCTCACCGACGCGCAGGCCCAAGGGACGTCTGAAACCATATTCACCTTCAATACGCGCAAGTTGGGGAAGAGCTTCACCAACGTCTGCCTGGTGCCATCCCCAGGAAGGGGATACTTTGTTGGTCAGAAAACAATCATGTAATCCTCATATTCACTCATCATACCCAACTTGTTTGATCTTCTTTGGCTGTTTAATACTGTTTTGAAACATTTAACAACTATGTTTCTCTTGGTTGATCTACCCCACTTCTCCCACCCGATCCGCTGCTTTCGCCACGCCACACGAAAGCCTCTTGGAACACCCCGCCGCCGGAAGTCTCCACAATGCGCACGCCGCGCAGCGGCGCCAGCTCCGTGGTGTTTGGCCGTCGCTCCGGTGGATGGAGGGTCACGCGTGCCACGAAGGGAGCGCCGTTGGTAGCAGCACAGGACCAAAACTCCCAGCAGTTACAATGCGCCTGCGGAATGGAGAGCTGGAGCTGGAAGACCCAGGTTTTGGTTCAATAGTAGCCATCAAAAATATGCTGGTGAATGGAGAATTTGCCATCTACAAGTACCAACTTTTGGGATTGTTTTGGTGGATTCAAACCTGAGTTTGACCTCAACTTCAGGTACTATGCATCCACCTCCAGCTTTGTAGAGGGCGCAACCAGCAAACATCCTGAAGGGTGGTGGAACCCGATGAAATATCGGCCAAACATTTCTCCCAGCATCTACTATCTTCAATCCTCAACGAACCGCGAAGGATCGTCTCCAAAAAGCAACAAGTACCATCAGTGACTAATCCTTCACTAACAGCTAATGTGAATAACTCTAGTTAAGACATTAAACCCACACAATGTCCTTTTTGTCACAACAATCACCAACACCAACTATTAACATCTATTAACTATTCTTCGCAACAAAAAAATATATATATATATAATAACAATATATATATATATAATAACAATATATATATAATATATATATATATACATATATACAGAACCTACGAAAAGACCTGGTCCTTTGTATCGCTTGCTGCGAACATTGAAAATGCCGAAGGCCCTTTCGAGACTTTGCAATGACCTCAGTGCGAAAAATATTTTGAATGACGGGCTAAAAACCTAGACATGAGTGGAAATGATGGTTGTGCTTGGGGACATAACATCAAAAAAATGGTGACGGGAAAACCGCAAAAAATGCGGCCTGATGGTTGATATTGTGTTGGTGAACTTTATCTCCAGGATGTGTCACTGAAAATGCGAGCTGTTCCGATGCACCAACCATTTGTACTGTGTTTCCCAACATGCTTCCCGGTCTGCAAAACACTGCCGTTATTAGCTGATTTATAAACATGCACTAACCCGAACATAACTGAAATAAGGCCACTTGGGGATTATTCCCGTGACGTCACCATACTTCATCAAAATTCATGTAGTTTTTACTGTGTACAATTGTGACAGTTCAGTGGCTTCGCACGGGCCGCAAACTATATAGAGAGTCAATCTACCAGTGGCCACTATAAGAATTGGTGACACACAATGTGTACACAGTACACACAAACCAATAGGGAAGGAAGGTTGCTGTCATGTGTCTGTCTGCATTGGTGCCCCCTGAAAACAAAATTACAGTACTAGTCACTGGCTAGCAACTGGTGGTCGCTCCCCTGCGTCACAAATACAGGATTGGCCCTCTCCAGCAAAGAACAACTGGAAAAACAAGGTTCGGACGCCAAGAGACTGTAATTCTTCATGAAACGGCAGCATGTCAGGTGGCACGTCATTGCCCAGCAGGTAGTAGGAAGATGTGGCCTGACCATTTCAACAAAATAGAAAATTCCTCATTCTAAGATCATAGATGATTTCACACTGCCACGTTTTATTACCGGGGAGTATACATATATACATTCATATAAATCCCCGGGAGGGGGGCGCAGCCATGGCCTGAAATGGTTGCGCGGGAATTAACCTGTCAATAAATACCTCCCCGGTCGGGGGGCTGATGCGCCTGCTCCCTTATCGTTACTTGGACGGCGACGATCCTGGCGAGGGTTTTTGTTGATGCCACCTGCATGATGAGCCCCTATGGCACTGCTTGGAGGAGGCAGAAGGAAGAAGCAGGCGCTGAGTGCGGCTTTCACTTCCAGGCCATGCGACAGCGCGTAGGCCTTGTCGTTTGCTCGGAGGAGTCCTGTGAAGGTCTTGGGCCATGGAAGGCAGATGGCGTCGGCAGAATCTTGAACCAGGTCTTATGTCTTGCTAGGGCCAGGACAGTTTTGTGGCAGCTGGCTTCTGATGGTGTGGGGCGCAGATGGCTGGTTGCCATTTTACTCAGTTTGCGGCAATCTCTGGATCCCGGTGATGGCTATGGCTGGGTTACTCCGTGGCAGCTTCTGCTATGAATTTGGTGCATTTTTTTTGTTCATCGCAGAGCTGGCGGGCCAATGACAGGCACTCCTGCTTGTCTCTTTTGGCTTTGGTGGGTTGGCGGTGGGTCAATGCCATACTTCGTATGGCTCTTTTGGCCTTGTTAGTTGCTGGGTTCGTGTAAGGCTAGGTCAATGTCCAGCTCGGCTTGACTCTTTTGACCTTCGTGCCCGTGCTCATGAACGTGGCGGCGTACGCTCTGAACTGTGAATCTCACCCATGCTGAGACTTTATGTACAGGAAGGTGGCCCCTTTTTGGGGCTATGCACAGGATGGCGGCCTCATTTTGCGGCTATATGTATTGTATAGAAGGTGTTTTTATGGCGTCTTAACTACTTCACTTCTGTGAGGAGCAGGTTGACGTCCGATACCAACAACAACAACAACAACTACATTCATATAAACATTACACGGTGTGTGTACGAACCATCCCATGATTGATCTTGACATGAAAATACCCGTCTTTCCTGGAGGCAATTCCTAGATTTCATGGCGGAATCTTCGTGTTCACTTCTAAAATCCCTGTTTATGTTGGTTTGCTATTAAATTTGTTTGTTAAATCATGTTAATGTTAAGTCATCATTTTGTTAAAGTCTCATTTTTGCGCCTTAAACGCTCTATTCTTGTGGGTCATTTTCTTGCGGATGAATCCCTCTTCAGCGGTGTCGACGCCTCCAAGATCTGGCGGTTGCCAAACATCTGTCCCAGGCGATCGTTCCTCTGGAGATGGTCCGACAAAGATCAGTCTGGGGAGCAAAACCATCAACCATGGGAAGATTCACGTGCTTTGACGCGGTTATTTTACATCATAAATCAACAGCAAAAATAAAACACACATGAGGTGCTATTATGGGGTCTTACAGCACCCATTTATAGCGATAATGGTGAATAGTGGTTCTTTCATGGTTCTTTCATGGGATATGAGTGACCTAACGTGGGAAACCCTGGCTGCCATAAACAACTCCCACCACTGGGCGGGTTAACATGGGTGAATCGTGAGAAATGATGGGTTTATAGAACTTAAGCATCAGAAATGACGAACCATGGTGGATTGGCCATCAACAATAAGGGGGGTAACCATCAACAATATATATATATATATATACATAGATATAGTGGATTAACGGGATGTATGAATGATGTATTGGCATAGTGAAGCAACCATAATCATTTGAGATGGATCAAAACATTCTATACCATATTTGGGGGCATGCACATCACAAATCCAAGCTATTTTGATATATGGCAAAACAAAAATTACCGCTGAACAGCCTAAGAAAGGAGACTTTGAACAGCAACCAAAAAAGTTCTGGTCCGAAAGTCATGGAAACTTGATGAAATTTGATCATCTTTAAACAGCTAAGATACTGACTCAGTCAGACACGGAACAGATATCTCTTGTTCGGCTCACAGGGCCCAGGGTTTGATACACTGGTCCCAGTGGTAGTGGTTGCCATAAAACAATCAGATGTATTTTATGTATGTTATATATATATATACATACACCCTCTGGTTATTTAACATAGCTATGGAAAATCACCCATTTTGAGATGATTTATGATGATTTACCGATTAAACATGGTGATTTTCCATAGCTACGTTAAATTACCAGAGGGTATATATAGATATCATTATATATTACAACTAAATCATTATATATTATAACTTACAACGATCAACTAAACTATGTCTAGGATGAATGAAACCACTTCAAGAGAGGGCATTACTCAGAAGATGATTTTCATAAGTGTAGACTGTCTGCCGCTGCAAAACATTCCCAAATGTTGGTTTGTTATTGGGTATACGGTAGCTAAGTCCTAGATTGGTTTATCAAAGTTAGCTACGGTTATGGCTTCTGAATTTAGTGGTTGAGGCTATAGTTAACAAAAAATGCTAAATGTTTAGCAAGTAGGAACACATAGCTTTATTTTTGAAAAACACTATGGTACCGAGATGAATATGTGATTTTGAACAAACAAACATATGATTGGGAGATGCATTCATTTTCCAACCCAATGAAATGCTCGTGCATCTACACTTGTGTCTGGATTCTTGAACATGTCCATGTGTTTTGGTTGGATAAACAGCTCAATGCAATGCCTCAATCACAGGTGAGGCAGTGCCATCTATGCGGCTGTAAATATTGAGAGGTTCGCCTATGTGCTTGGAGTTGCGCCATCTATGGCACCAGGGAAACATGATCTGCATTGCCCTGGTTGCGAAAATTCCTCAAATTTAACATGTTGGACCGAATACTAAGGAGTATTCGCCAGTTTGCGTCGAACAATAGATGAAACCTGGGCGCTAAATTCATGAGCGTTGCACCCTCAATTTTCACAAAAGAGTTGTGGAAAGTAGATGGCGCAACTCGGCAACATGCGCCTCTTACATTCACCCCTAAATAAAACAATATATATATATATAGGACTTATTCTGGCATTGGGATGCACTTGGGTAACCTTCTAGTTAAATCTCATCCCGTCTTAATTAAAATCACCTTGTATCGCAAAGCCAGTCAACTCTTCGCCGATTTAAACCACATGTTTCACCACTGTTCAATCACCATGTCTGACCAATTTTCATGGTTTAAACCACATTTGTTCGCAACTTTGGAGGCTTTGACCCACCATTTCTCACCATGTTTGCTGGTTCAATCCCTATTTTCGATGGTCAAATAGTTAAACCACCATGTTTCCACATGAAACATATCCATGGTGCCATCCCCCCTCCCCACGCGGCCACGGTGTCACGACCAGGCATCGTTTGGACCAGCTCCATCACACGCTGCACCGCCACGCGCTGCTTGGCGCGTAAACTGCGGCGCAGGGAGACGTGGTGCTCTGCCAGCAGTTCGCTCTCCCAATCCCTCTGCCCTGACGAAAAATGAACATCGAAATGGGGATTTCCATGAATAAATGGAGGGTTTATGCGATTGAACCAGCAAAAATCATGGGTTTATGGAAATTAAACATAAACAATGGCGGTTTTGTGGAGTTTCACCAGCAAAACTGATGGTTTTATGCAATTGAACAGGTAGAATATGGAAAATCATGGTGATAAGGATTTGATCACCGAAAATTATATAAATATGAAACTGTCAATTTGTGGGTCGACCCAATTCAGATAACCTCACATATTATCTGTTGGTGAAATATCCATAAACCCATATGATATACCATTATATCCCCATTACACCTTAAGGTACGAGTAACCATGAATGACACAATCATTGGCCAAATCATGGTTGATGCTTAAACAAAAAAGTTTGATCATGTTGATGGTTCTATCCCATTATGACATGGATATTATGATCAAGTTTCTTGCTGCTTAAATCCCCTTGCTCAAGCTCCTGAAATCTAGGAGAAAATCATGATAAACCAGTGGATCTGGGGGTGCCCTGTGAGCTGTGTTCGGACAAACCTATAATGTATGGTATAAACAAATATGGCTGAATTTGGTTTCAATATATACGTGACGTGTATATATATATATATATATTAAATATATATATATATGATGTTAAATCTATCTACATACCATGGATATCTCGATGTAGAAACAGTATTCAAAAAATATATAATTAATAATCTTCGGTGGTATCCCCAACCACCGCAACGTTTTATTTTTACCAGCGGAACCAAGAACCTATGAAATCGTAGGGTCTGAGAGAAAACCCGGGGTTTTGCATCAAAACCCGGGGTTTTGAAAAGCCATGTTTTTCATCATGTTTGAATTTCCATGATCTGTCATGATCTTTCCCGTTTTGTGATCATTCTGTTTGAAATCCTGTCTGAATGTTTGAAAATCTTTGAGAAATTCAAAATCATGCCATATGATGCGTTGCACCCTGGCCAAATGCTCCACACTTTTTCTTCATCCTCGTAAATATCCCTATACGAGTAGACACATGTTTTGGCGCCATACTCACTACAATCCAACTACAGTCCGTTCCAGTCCAACAAGGCTGCGAATTTGAACCACCGTCAAACTTACAGAAAACATGGTGCCTGGAGATGATTTATTAATTTTCCGCGGTACGCCATGTAAATTTGAAGGCTGTATCCATTTTTCCCATCTAATTTTCGATGCCGGTTTGGCATCTTCTCGCAAAACAGCAATCGGACCTAAAAATCCGCTACTGTTGGCCTTCAGCCCGGGGCCCAAAAAAACCATATTTTTTCTACGGGTTTGTACGGGTTAATTACGGGTTTTGTACGGGTTAAATACGGGTTTTTAAAACCCGGGGTTTTTAGGAAAATCAAAAAATACGGGTTTTGTACGGGTTAAATACGGGATAAGTACGGGAAAATACGGGTTTTTCCAAAAAACCCTTAATTTTCAGCCAAAATCTTGAAAATCATAAAAAAACATCATATAGTCCGGAAAAAAAAACAAAAACCACCTGTTTGTTCGTAATTGGATTCATTTTCCAGGTCCAGATTTTGGCTGATTTTTTTTCATGTTTGGAATCATCCATGAATTAAAAAGCCGAATTCAAATTTCTTCTGACCCAAACCAATGAAAATTGTTGTATTTATAAGTTTTCACCATCCGTTGGGCTCAGGCATCCAAGTTCTTAGGAATCAGCGGCTTCCAATGTGCAGGCTCGCTAGGTCATAAGCAAAGTGAAAGTATAAAATATAAAATCAGGAATTTACATAGTACATCCTTGATCGTGGATGCTCCTGTTGGCGACCTGAAGCAAGGCAGGCTGTCCAAGGAAGGGTTTGGCTAAGTATGATTATATTGATATATTTAGAAACATGATCAGTTTCCCCAAAAAGCCCTTTAGTATACATATATATGAGCTACCTCCAAAACTCTAATGCCCCAAAATGGAATATCTATTTTTCCTTCGTTTTAAAGGGTCACCTTCGTTTTACAAGGGTTTCGACCAAACCTTCACAGATATACGTGCGATATCGCGCAGTCATCATTTCGAGCTAATGGCAGCAGCAATGGCAAAAGTTATAAAAAACAGTGTCAGGATGTGCTAGGATTAGTACTGTGACTCGTAGAAGCGACAAAAGTGCTAGAAGAAGCAACAGTGGCAGCGCAAGCAGCAGGAGCAGGAGCAGTAGCAGTAGCACTGGAGTAGCAGTAGCAGTGGCAGGAGCAGTGGCAGTAGCAGTGGCAGTGGCAGCAGCAGTAGCAGCAGCAGCAGTGGCAGCAGCAAGTGACAGCAGTGACAGCAGCGACAGCAGCGACAGCAATGACAGCAGTCACAGCAAGTCACAGCAGCAGCTACCAGCACCAGCACCAGCACCAGCACCAGCAGCATCAGCATCAGCATCAGCAGCAGCTGCATCAGCAGCAGCAGTAATCGCGGTGATGCCGGCGCTGTTGGTGCTTTGCTGGTGCTGGTAAGACAAATGCCTGCAGCAAAAGCACAACTAGGCCCATGGTAGTGGTTGCAGTAGTAGCAGGATGGGGAAGAAGGTTTGCCTGCTCCTGGACAAGTTCATGCCAAGCTGCTTGTCGTGAATTTTGCCTTCGTTTTTGCCTTCGTTTTGGCTTCGTTCCAGAACGCAAAACCAGATGGGAAAACGAAACCGCCGGATAAAAAGAATACTTGCAGGCGGAAAGCAGAAACTTGACAAAATGTAAATGCAGCAGGAGGAAAAACAAGATAGGAAAAAAACAAACGGGAACAACAGAAAGAAACGAAGGCGGAAAGGAAGCCAACAGAAACTGTCACAGGAAAGGCATGAACACAAGAAAGGAAACAAAAGGAAGACAAGGGAAAACAGGTAAAGACCAAACGACAATAACTCCATGATACACCATTATTGACGTTCGCTTCTCAAATGGAAATCTATCAACAAACATTAGTTGTAAGGTTTGCCTTCGTTTTAAAGGGTCACCTTCGTTTTTGCAGGTTTTGAGCTATATTCCATTCCAATACATATCCCTTACATAGACCTTTTTGGTGGTAGCCCATATACAAAACCCGGGGTTTTTGGAAGAAAACCCATATTTTAATGAAATTTGGGAAAAACCCGGGGATTCGATGAAAAACCTACAAAATGTTAGGGTTCAGGCTCGCTAGGTACAAATCTTTCTGAAGCGTGCTGCGAAGCCAAGCCCAGACCTTCTCCGGAACCTTCTCCGGAACCACCTGACCTGACTCCGCACCAAAGCCTCCCGGAACCTTCTCCGGAAGCTTCTCCGGAACCCTGGTGAACCTAACCTGACTCTGCACCGAAGCCTCCCACACCTTCTCCCGGAACCTTCGCCAGAACCCTGTTGAACCTGACCTGGCTCTGCACCACTGGCTCTGCACCAAAGCCTCCCAGACCTTCTCCGGAACCTTCTCCGGAACCTCCGTTGAATGTGACCTGGCTCTGCAACAAAGCCTCCCAGACCTTCACCGGAACCTTCGGAACCTTCTGCTGAACCTGACCCGGCGCCTGCACCAGTGCACACCGGAGCTCTTCTGGGCTGAAGACCCCATTAGCTTGCGCTGTTGGGGAAAAATTGGCCTATGATGGCTTATCATTGAAATAGCAACAGTCTTCCAAATATAGCCGTTGTGTTTCAAATCATGGTTTTAGTACATATGTGCTGGGCGTTGAACCAATATTTCTGCCTAAAAGAACTGTCCGAGGTTCCTAAAGGAACCAGTGAGCGGCTGAGCATAGTTTGTCATCAGTTCCAATTACTGCGATGACGAAAGCTTAATCATCTCTTAATCTCGGGGTTGCCGTCTCTTTCTTGTGGTTTGATGCACGAGGAGTAGAGAGTTTCCCACTTCCATGGATCCAGCGAATGCGGAAGCAGACCCAGGTGCAAAAATGACCGATGCCGCGCCTTTTTCGATCAACAACTTCAGATATTCCTCAGTAACCTTCGAGCCATTCACCATCTCATCCCACTGGGCAGCTGAAAAGCCATAGGATTCAGCCCAGTGCCAGTGCTCGGACGGCTCCTCTCTCCTGGGGGCGGGTTGTTTTAGGGATCTGGAAAAATCCAATGACACGGTCATTGCTTAAAGCCATGACATGGTTATCAGATGTTTTTGCTAGTATAAGTAAAACTTACATCATTTAATCTTCCAAACACTTCTGGAGCAAGCTGATGTTGATAGGTCTTGGGGGGGAAGACAAATCATGATCTCAATGGAAAGGGACCCGCAGTTGACCCCGGTCACCCTTGGATTAGGAAACCTGGCTGAGGCAGCACCCCCTAGAGAGTGATAGTCTGCTATCAGCATGCTCATTTAAAGCGACATTAAAGCCACCAGGTGATGTTTGATGTCATGCATTTCGATACCCGTTTTTGAGCGTCAGTCACAGCCCAAAAAAAGCATCTGGCACGTCCTTTGTTGATCCCCAGCTACAACTTTACCTTTCAGTGGAATATATGGGTTTGCGGTTCACCCATCTACTGTAATCCCCAAAAGAAAACGCACATATCTAAGTCTCTAAGTGTGACTGTAATCCGCCCAACATGTCATTAATTGGAATGGTTTGAGGGAAAATGTCCGGGAATCCCCTAATTGTTGATGGGAAGCACCATTGTTCTGTTGAGATGGTTCCATAATATGTATAATATATATATATAGTGTATTTAAAAATATATATATATATGGGTGCGAGTCAAAAATCGGGTATGCATCGCTCCGCGGTGATCCGTACTATGGATCGGGAATGCTTACGTAAGGTGCCTGATCCGTACCCTTTCGTAAGGGCTCACCATAGCATACAAACTGTGCTGATACTCCTACTATCTCCTACCAAGGTTGCTATTACTTCTCCTCCTGCTACTGTTGCTGCTAAAACTGCTACCACTGCTAGTAGAGGGAGCATTTAAAAAACCAGCACCAGCAGCAGTAGTTGCAATAGAAGGAGGAGATGCAGTAGCAGTAGAAATAGCAGTAGCCGTAACAGTAGCACTAGTAAAAGTCATAGTAATAATAGTAATCTAATGGCAGTAGCAGCAGCAGCTGCAGTTGTACTAAGAGTAAGAGGAGTAGGAGTAGGAGTAGTAGTAGGAGTAGTAGTAGTAGTAGTGGTGGTAGTAGTAGTAGTAGAAGTAGTAGAAGTAGAAGCAGAAGCAGAAGCAGCAGTAGCAGTAAAGTAGTAAAGTAGTAACCGAATCGGACTTTCATATTGGCATTTGTTGTGGCGTGACTGTGATTGGGTTCGGGTATGGATCGGGTATGGAATGGGTATGGATCGGGGTATGGATCGGGACACGCTATCTGGGCCGGCTTTCCCGCTATGGCTGTGAAGGAAGAGAGCGGGGTATTTCTAGTCTGGTCTAGTTCTACACGTGCCAGGCAAAGCAGAAACAGAAAGGAATTGTAATCATAGCGCCGCTATAGAAGTACAAGAAGCACCTAGTGGAAATAGGCCGGTCTTACTAGCCTTCAAGGTGCATTTGCAGTATTGCTAGTAGCTAGTCAACTAGTTGCCTTTGTCCAGCTACTAGAAGCACTCGGAGGAAGTGAATCAGCACCAGCAGCGGGAGCAGGACCAGCAGGAGCAGCAGCAGAAGCGACAGCAGTAGCAGCAGCTCCTGGGAGGAAGATGACTAGTAGCGGCAGCAGCAGCAGCAGCAGCATCAGCACGGAGGCAGCGGAGGCAGCGGAGGCAGCGGTAGAAGCAACGGTAGTAGCAACGGTAGTAGCAACGGGAGTAGCAGTACGAGGACCAGAAGCAGTATTAGGATAAAAAGCAGCATTAGGGCCAGCATGAGTCTTTCTTCAACGAGAAAGGGGTACGGATCAGGGGTATGGATCAAGGGTATGGATCATGCAGTATCATGGGGTATGGATCAAGGTATGGATCGGGGGGTATGGATCGTGTGTGGGTCCGGGGCCTTGATCCATACCTTGTATTTTGAATCGTACCCATATATATATATATATCCCGTTGCCGATTTTAGGACGCTCTTTTTCTACACCTGGGTTTGAAGCTCATAAGGCTTCACATTAATCAGGCAAATTACAAGAATCCTGAACTGGAATTTTGTGGATGTTGGGAGGTCGCTATAGCTTACCCATATTTTCATGATTAATTCCTGATTATATCCACACGATATCCCAGTATATCCTACATATTTGCTGCTTAAATCCAATGATGTTCCCCTTGTTGGTTGGTTTAAGCCACCATTCGTCACCACTTTTGATTGTCAAATCGTCCTTTATTGTGCTGGTAAATAAAACATGTTTCACCATTGCTGATGGTTAAATGCCAATTGTTGTTAGCTAAATCATATTTTTGTTGATTAAATCCCTACTCTTTCAGGTTCGATCCCCATTAAATCCCAAATGTCAATTGTTGTTCCCTAAATAATTAGTAAATCCCTACTCTTGCGGGTTAATTCCCCATTTTCTTTAGTTCAACCATCATTTTGTCCCCAGCATCTGCGGCAGCACGCCCTGATTGATCTTCTGTACCGGAAGGTCGCAAGCCGCGGTGACGACCCAAAAGGTCCGCAGCGTCGCCGCCAAGGTCCGCAGCATGCCGGGCGCGGCGCAAGCGTAACATGGGCAAAGACAGAGTTGCTTTAAATGGCAAAACGTGGGACAGCTTTCAATTTGTACTGTATATATTTATTAGAATTTATTAGACAAATTAGAAAATAATGCATACAGGATCAAATGAAATATTAACATGCCATAAAACAAACAAATAATAATATATAATAACAATAACAATAATATATAATAACAATAACAATAATACATATGTGATATAATATAATATATATAATAATATATATATACGTGTTTGTTCATCATGTGTGTATTTTCACTGAAAACGGTGATAGTAAACAAAGTTGCAGTTGAGTTGTTGTTTTTGTTTTGTAAGGACATGAAAATGAAATAATCTAAAGAATGCTAGAGTTATTGTCTCCTGAACAAGTGATGCTTTGTCGAACGAACAGCGCCACATCTTGTGCGTGATGGATCAAATATGTAGAAAACATGTTGTGCTTTATTCAAAAAGATTCTTTGATGGATGCCGAGGTAGCAGTGAGACACTCGCAAGACGGCTTTGAAGACACTCTACCAAGGAACCTCAACGGAAGTATGTCTTGGGTGGCTACCTCTGCAATCCCATAAAATACTGGCTGGTTACACATATTCCTACTATGCTTTATAGGTCTAGGTATCCCCCATAAGCCAGGATCATCCCCCTACAATCACCAAGCAACAATTATTTGCCAACTATGTCCCCATACGTTGGTTAAGTCAGGTATATCACCGTATATCAACAATATATCCCCCAACAATTTAACCAATTGACAGAGGTAACTGGCAGCAACTGGCTGATAATCTCATGGATCTGTGGCTAATAGCACTTTCTTGAGGAATGTTCGAATTTGTAAGTTCATCACCTTAGGATACTTTTGGCTTACAGTCAAAGGATATATATACATATATACCTTAATATCTACTATGAGAGGGTATTGAGTCAGTGATTGAATAATATGTTTAAATTTAAAGCGAGTCTAATTGTTGATGGATTTTGATGAGGGCTGCAGCCACTCCTCGACCGACTGATCACTGGTCACTAAAATAAGATACGATTCGAGCGTGCAACTTGGAAGGGTGTGTGGCAACATCAGAGGCCCTCACGTGCTTCAAATCATTCAGTACATACTCATACCCATATCACTATTTTACTATCTGTTACTTGTCAATTAAGGGTCCAGGTGCCACATGTCCTTTCCTGTTCACTTCCCCCCTTCGTTCAAGGTACCAGAAAGAGTCTCTTTCACCTCCGCGCACATGGATGTTTTCTTCATCCGTGCCCGGCAGTACTCCTGGGTTGCCAAATGTTGCCGACATCTTTTTGACATGTTTCAATCAAGTCTGGGATGGAACAAGGCTAAAGTAACTTGCTAAACTTCCTAAGGTCCTAAGGCCTAATTTGTACGTATGCTTCCCTTAGCTGGGGGAATCACCTAAGGTTTGAGATGGTTTGAGGTTTGAGATGGGAGTGATGTATTGGAGATGAGGCCTTGCTGGGGTTCCAACGACCTGCGTAAAATTACGTCCGTGTCACTTTCAAGACCACAAATGCGTTTTTCAGACTGTTGATTCGCAAATTTCAACACTGCAAACTTGAGTAGTAGCCAGCATCAAAGGTATAAGTTCTTGCTGTGTAAAACACATTCCTCTCCATGGCTAAAACCACATTTCAACATCTCCAACGACTTTGCTGCAACACCAAGTCCAGCTGTCGTTAATCTATCAGCCCCCAGGGTGAGATTGGCAATTCCAAGTCCTCATCGAAGCTCAAATCATGATTTCCTGTCGGCCCATGAGGGCTGGAAATGTGTTCCCGAACGGGCCCTCCAAGGGACTGGCTTTTGAAGTACGAGATTTGCAAGTCGCATCTTTTTCGGGTCTACGAATCAACAAAGATTTGATCCCCGAACGTGCATCTAGTTAGAGTCAGACCCCAAGGAGACAGCTGAATCATCAAATGCTTGTGTCTGAAATGGTGAGGGTATTAAGTAGACAATAAGACTAATATTGGATGTGCTGGTGGGTGAAATAAGCTTTGCTCAATGGGCCAATAGTCAAAAAAAATCGGCTGGCATTGACAAACTACATCTGCGGGTTGGGAGTGTCTTCAACTTTTCCAAACTTTGGTATCCCAAAATTGACTTGGATGCTTAAGACTTTCAAGACTAGAAACGACAACAGGTTTTTTGGTTTGTTGTTGGGTATACTTGTTTGACCAATCCCACTTTAGTTGTGTCATGTCCAGCCAGCCACTAATAGATACGCTGCAGAACACACTTAATCTTGAACTGGACGCCTTTATCTATCCCCAATAAATACAGCAAACGCATAAAGTACAGCTACCGCAAATTGGCCTTCACCAGTCCGTTCGCCCATTCTAAAAACACCGGTGATGACCAATTCTTCCTGGCTCATCCCCATTGTATAAACACCTAATTCAGCAATTCACTAAATATTATGACACCTTTGGCAATATAATGGCAATATATATATATATGTATATTATATATATATATCATCATCCATATAATTACTGTAGTTGGTTATATCAGTTACATCCCATTTAAATATAAATCCCGATGAATCCCGTATGAAACCATGATATTCCTTGGTTCAATCCCGTTGTGACACGTTGTGATGTTGCACCTCTGACCCCTGGTGGCCTGCGATGACCACCTTCTCTTTGGCCGGATAGTCGCGCAACCACTGGGCAAAACTCTGCACCTGCCGAGGGGATGGGGGAGGACTGAGCAACAAAAAATGGAGGATTTTAGATGATTTTAGCATTTTTTGGGGGATGTATTGACTGATAATCCTCCATTTTACCAAAACTGATAAGATCCTCCATATCCTAAAATGGGGAAGAGTTGACCCAACAAGAATGGATGACTGGGATATGGTGATGAATGGTGATATAATCAACCAAAAGTTGGAATTGAACTAAGAAACCTTGAGATATAAGTGATTATAAGTGGGACAAAATGTGAATACAGTAAATTGTGATATAACATAATAATATCACCAACATGGGGATCTCTTGGACAAATGATGAAAAATGGAGATAGATGGAGACTTTCGCCACGGTTTCGTGGGAGTATCAACCGAACATTGTCTGTCGATGTAATGGGATATGAGGATATGAAGTCCATCAGCCACTTCAAAACATAATACCGCAACTACGACAGGCCTTTTTGGGTCACCTCTGTTGAGGGTTTCTTTGCGAGTTTTGCGGGGGCCTGAAATTGTCACCAACAGCCATATCAAATATGTAGTAGGTATATGAATCAACTATGGGGATGCCACCAACAGAGGGAGTACTCTGATAAGCAAACATGGCTGATCTTCCATAGCCAGGTTTGTTTGCCTAAGGCTGAATGGGGTGAACCAACGAGGTTTTTGCCAGTGAAATGTGTCGATTTTTGCCAGTTGAGTCCTCTGAGTCCTCTGAAAAATCACACGGAAGCCATCTGCAATATTTGCTTTTGTTGATTGTATATAGTTGGTTCAATACCAAGCTACTATACCCAAGTCTTCTGATTCAACTGCAATTTTCTTCCAGGTTGATTGAAACACCTGCTCTTGTTGCTTTCAAGACTTTAAACGTCCCGAGACCTGTGATACCTCACCCTGGTTGGTGAAGTCTCCAGCATGAAGGAGCACCTGGGATCGTTTTCTTCAAACATGTGGGTAGTTTTTCTTGAGGTCCAAAAAGGGAACCAATGGAAACCATGTAACTCTTATGGCCTATAGTTTTCGCGCCATCCAATCCGATTGCACTTTTTGTTTATGGATCATCTCAATGGGTTCGTAATCCCATGTCTACGGTTGATCATAGACCATGTGTTTGAAAGTAACCATTTCCAAGGGTTTGATCGAAGAAAATTCGTTGATATGGAGATATTTTATGGGTATAGTTGTGCGATCTTTCTATATATATATATTAATCCAACAATATGATAGTTGCGGCTGCCCAATTGTGTGAGTTTGTTCGGCACCAACTGATGTTAGCACTGAGTCAGTTGGGCACTGCAACTCAAAGAACTATGGTGCATATATTTAGTGGATAATATGCAGGTTTCCTACAATGGGGGTACCCCAATAGCTGGATGGTTTATACTGGAAAATCCATCTATACATGGATGATTTGGGGGTACGAGTACCCCTATTTTAGGAAACCTCCATATAGGTTCCACTTAATAAGTGTGTTTGGATACAATACCCTATAGTTATTAAGTGGATAATCCCATACCCCTTATAGTCCCCGAAAAACCTCCGTTGAGTATTGGATCTATTCATGACTTGGGGCTGGTCTACAGATCATCCCGCGGAGAGTTTGAAACTGGTTAGTCATCATAGGTTCTAAATTATAACTATAGTTATAACCTGTTTATAGTCACTATAACCCACCGTAAAATTTGACTCATTGTAAAATTTATCCCACTCTAGTTCTCATGACCCATTTGCAGTTATATATATACACATATATATATATTGTGGTACCTACCCCCTTGGAAATCAACCGTGACTAGCTGGAAGCCTACCACATTCATAGAACATTTCTCCCATTCAAACACCATTTCTGTGGGATTTCCAGCTAGCCATCATCGCGGCCAGCGGCCAGCAAGGCACATCCGCTTCGGGCATATGCTTCGCAGGAATCTTGGCGTGCAAGCCATGAGTGTCCTGACTGCGAAACGGAACACATTTTCTTGGGTCATATCTTTCTAGGAGTTGTCTTAGCTAACTGATATAGTAATATAATAGAACATAAAATTACCAAAGATTACTGTATATCATAGGACTTGATATTAACCATGCTATGGACAATTATAATTATATATGTTATACGTACTATCCCATATGCTCCACGGTGCTGGAATATGTATATCAATATTTACCCAAAAAATAACCCGAGTGTAGTTAAATATAACATACATGGAGCATCTGGGTGTAGGACATAGTGTTCTTTTCTTTGTAATATGTCCATAACTATATACCATCCGGTAACTTCACATAGCTATGCAAAAGAAAGCATGAACATGGCCCATTTACAGGTATATATAATTTACCTGTGAACATCTAACATATATATATATATAATGGTCATAGGAGTAACCAGTACTATATAACCATGATTAATCGTTGTTCATCATTGTTACAGTATATAATAACAAAACTATATGTATATATTCCTAACAGCAGTGCCTGTTGGGTTTCATCTCTGGGTCTGGGAGTGTTGCGCCGCTGGACACCTGGAACCTGCTGGGTGAGCTGGGTTAATGACATCTAATATTAGATTGGCGAATATAAATGAATATAAACATTATTAATCATTGTTACCCACCGGTAACCAAACATGGTTTAATGTAAAAAGTCCCCATTTAAACCTCTATTTATAGGCAAAATCCCATTGCCATTTGATTACCGGAGGGTAACGATTGCAAATAACCAACATGTCTAATAACTTTGGTTGAGAACTGTGACTAAGTGTAGCTAACATTTCAAATGTGATACGCTGAGGATGGGTGGATGGATGGATGGATAATGGTCGGCCGAGTCGTCCTGGTGAAAGAACTCCTACTCAAATGAACCCGCACACGAGTCGGACCCTGCTACAATATTTGATAGTTTCATATAGTTTTATTTTAACTTTCCAAAAAAGAACATAGTTCCATAATGTTCCAAAGTTTTTGCGTTTCACTAGTTCATAGTTCCATACGTTCCATAGTTCCGTAGTTCTAAGTATAGTTATGAGTTCCGTAATTCCATAGTTCCATAAATATAACTTGCATAGTTCCAACAGGTTTTCAATAAATCAAGGAACCAACAGCAACACTTTGGAAAGTGCTACGCAGATTTGACATCAGTGGTGGCTTCTGCCCTGGAATTTGGGATTTTTACCTCACATGATGCGGATTCCCGGATGAGGACGAGTTCGCTGGAGCCGGCCATGTCCTGCTGGAAATTCCCAGCATCCTCTGACTTCGATTCACTCACGATCCGAATGTGCCCCATCGACGTAGACCTTCTTCCATCCCAGGGGTCGCTAGTGTTGGTTTGGCTACTCAAAATATATTCCAACATTTTCCCCAAAATAGCTGTATGCATATATATATATTGTATATATATATATTATTATATAGTATATAAATATATACATATGTATACACCATTCCTGTCCATTACTTATATACATACATATATCATACATACCATGATTGGTTAAAGTAGTCGTATGTGACCTTAAATCACCACGTTTGACGGGTTGATCTAAAACAAAATGCATAGCAGTTTCCCTTTAAATCTTTAATACATGTGGTGCCGTTGGGCTCCCAAGATAGGAAAACTGGATTTAAGAATTAAGTAGTTTTACTATGGTTTAGAACAGATTGAACTGGCTTTACTACGGTTAATGGGTGTTTAGTGGTTCGATATATAGACTTAGATGGGTGAATAAACAAATCTAGAAGTGGGCGGCCGCATTGTAGCTATCAACTGGATTCAACGGGTAGGTGGTCTGAGCTACCAATCAGTTCGTTCGTACCCCTTTTGTTGCTGGATGTTTTTGGTTAAATTATACATCGTCACATCTGTTGGAAAAATTAAGTTTTCTTCTTCTAGATTTTAAATCCCACCTGTTGATATGTCCTGTTCACGAGTGTTGGTTAAATCCCAAAGTTTATAGTTGAATATCCAAGTCTCTTGGTCACTTCAACCATGTCACAGTAATCCCATCCCCCCTGACATTAAACACCCCCTCAGAAGCCATGGTTTAGTAGGGGATTCACAGATATTTGAGACCATTTAGAGCGTGTTTAATATCAGGTGGATGGGATTTCTCTTCATCCGCGATTTCCACAGAGATTTTTGGCCAAGAGACACTGAAACACACGAAGCGGGTCCAACCTTCGGGTTTGTCTTGCCTTGGGGCGAGCAATGTGAACAAATGGCGGCACCAACATATATAGGAAAGATAAGGACATTTCGCCCGTGAAAAAAAATGACCTAAGAAGGCAATCTAAAGGCCAGAGCAAAAAAACAAATATATATAGATTGGTTGTTCAATGCAATTGACACCTTGTTTTGTGTATATTATATTCTTGTGGTTCTTGTTGTTGCTGTTGTTGTCGTTGCTGTTGCTGCTCTTGCGGTCATTCAAATTTCATGTTATACTTTCGCCCCTCCCTCCGGTCCTTTCTTTCTTATATACTTTGTTTCCATTTCCTTGCCTTCCTTTTCTCCGTCTTTCTTCATTTGCCTCCTTGCTTTACCCTCTTCTTTCCTTCTTCCTCCGCTTCTTCCTTAGTTCTTCCTTTGTCATCTGTTTATTGTTCCCATTCCTGTGGTTCTTGATTTAGTTCTTGTCTTCAGGCTCATCTCTTTATTGGCCATGCATGCGCATATTGCGTCATCCGAGAGTAGAACTAAGCCGAGAGTAGAACTAAGCCGACATTTTTCAGTGTGTGTTTTTTAAACAAGCATGACTCGTGCGCCCCAATTGCCGGATATAGATACAGACACAGGTATCGCGGGACCAAGGGGATTGCAATAAATCTGCTTCACCCAGGGTGACTATCTACATTGTATACTTTCAAGTTTCCGGTTGCAACGTCCGGCAAAACATATCCTTGGCACAGTACGTCCTGGAAACCTGGTTCTCGTTTTTCTTTCACTTATCTTCCCATCAAATCTTCAAACACCTCGGAAAAAGGCATTTGCAGGGTGTAGATCTTGGATTTCTGAACGACCTGTCTTCTCTCAACACTTGCCCTCTCGACGCTTTTCCTTTGAGTAGTTGCCATTTTTTGGAGTAATCAGCCATCGGAAAGCACCACATTGGAGACCCTTGTGAGGAAGGGTTTGGTTGAACATCTTGTGACAAAGGGTTTGGGATCAAGTACCTCCGGAGAAGGATCTTGAGTTACTTTTATATTGCCCGCGGACATCTAGTTTTCAGTCCAATCAAAAAACATTCTCGAGCCGGCAGGAAGAGGATACTGTTGAGGAGGCGGACCTTTTCCTGTAAATTTGTCCCTTAGACCAATCCAACCAACAGTTGACATCAGGATTTCCCGGTATGATTTTTCCATGATTTCCTCTCTAACCATCCCAATGTTGTTGATGTTGGAGTGCAAGTATGGAAGTTCGGTGTAGCAACTCTCCAGATGTTCATGGCCTTGATTTTGATCTTCAAAGCTGCATTTGTTCAACCCGCCATTTTCTGACCCAGTTGCACAACTGACAGGAAGATTTGCATCCTGACCCAGTTGTTTTCAATGCTTGGATTTCATTGGTGTCCCACATGGGTTGTTGCTTAAAGGTACCGCCTGGGAAAGAGCAGGAACTTAAAGAACGCAGGGCTGAGGAGCAGAGATGAGCAGGGGTCTGTGCTTGGACGTTACGCAAACTAAAATTGGCTCATGTTCTTTGACGTGCAGGCAACTTCTTTCGTCGATTTTGCTGTCTCCATCAGGGTAGTGGAAGAGAAGCAAAGCGAGAAGCAAAAGAACGAGAAGCAAAGGAGGGAGACGTGAAGGAAACTGGGACGGTATTGTTGATTCCTGATATGCACCCGTGGTATGACGGCTTCATTGTTCTGGTCATTTCTTTGGGGACATGGTTGATCTGCCTTCATGGGGAATGACATGATCCAACTTGAGATCAAATGTGATCAAGTAAGAATGAGAGCTGCCCTATTTTCCCTATTGGGTCAGGATTTTCAAGCCCGGAAACCCAGATGCACAACAATTTCATGTGGGCTAAGGACACAAGTGACACAAGCCCGACATCCCTCGCCTTATTTGCATGCTCTAACTCGATGAAACTGGTTATATAACATCCCCAATTTTGGGCTTATCCAATCTACGTTCAAGTCCAACACTGGTCCTTTCCCGTCTCTCCCCTTTTCCAATTCTTGATTGGTTGCTGTAAAAAATCTGAATTACTGTATGTCTTTTTGCTGGTTCTCAATCTGTTTCTTTGTTCTGTTTGGTTAAGCAATCATGAGACACATCAATCGTCTTGGGTGAAACATACTAGAATCATCTAGAATCGTATTCGCTGGTTCTGGAGCTGCCAAAAACATGATGCTATGATAACTATGCCTGCTAGACTCTCATATTATATATATACAATATATGTATATATATATATTCATTATGTGCAAACTGAAACACGTTGAAACACGTTGAAACACCTTGAAACATGTTGAAACATGTTGAAACACGTTGAAACACGTTGAAACACGTTGAAACACCTTGAAACATGTTGAAACATGTTGAAACACGTTGAAACACGTTGAAACACGTTGAAACACCTTGAAACATGTTGAAACATGTTGAAACACGTTGAAACACGTTGAAACACTTGAAACATGTTGAAACATGTTGAAACACGTTGAAACACGTTGAAACACGTTGAAACACCTTGAAACATGTTGAAACATGTTGAAACACGTTGAAACACGTTTAAACACGTTGAAACACGTTGAAACACGTTGACATGTTTGTTTGATGGTTCCAAAACCCACATCTTCCCATGGTTTGTTTCACCACCGCGGATGAGTTACCTCGGATCCGTGACCAAGGACAGGCGACACCGTGGCTCGACCATGGCAGAAACTTTGCGGCAGATGTGATATGCTGGGAATATGTTTGAAGAATTTTCAGGATATTGTGATACGACCACCCAAAACCATATCTGAAAGCTGTTGATATCTGTTGGTATTTCGATGAACAAGTTATATATATACATAGGAAATCAACCAAAAGCTTGGCATTTGACATGCAAGTTTCTTGCAGCATGACAGACGAAAGGAATCAAAGCAATAAACACGGGAATTGATTGTTCGAGGGGACTGCAAGCTTGCTGTATCGTTAAAAAAGGTCATGGCATGACAATAAGCGATATCTGCCTATGATTTCTTGATTGATATAATACTTAGGCATGGATAATATATGTTATGTTCCATCAACACTGTTCGCTATGCATGATAATGCATCGTTGAATGCTAAGAGCTGCCGAAAACACTCTCATCCGATCAATGTCAACGAAAAACCCGTGGATTACACCAGCGGCCAAAGCCCAAGTCATGCATTGATCATCGACGGTATGCTGGTCTATCCACCCTGCAGTGTGTCGTCAAGCTGGCCCCCCCTTGGTAAGAAAACAGCAAGCCCACTTCAAAAGTGGACTGGCGCCCGAGCCCCAAATGTGGCCAGCTGTGAGAATATCTAGCCACCGAGGCCATGTTTTCCATGGTATTTCGTATGGCTTTCCAAGCCTTTTTTCCACGTAGTGAACCAACCACACCGCCAAGGCGAACCTCTTCCGGTAGAGCTTTTCAGGTTCACTGAGTTCTCCCTGTAACGCCAGTTGGCGCAAGAGCTTCCGTGGCCTGAGTCAGGATGTCAGGCAGGATGTCATACATCTTCCTCCATTTGTATGAAACATAGATAAATACAAAGTATGTCATTACTCATCAGTCATCATCAGTAGTGTAACATTCACAAAGAGTCTACCTACAACTAATTCCAACAAGCAGTTGTCAACCTCCGCCCGCAGAGCACCAGGGTTCCAACAGTTTCTTCTGGTCAGCCTGTGCCGTGTCAGCTCTTATCAGGCATGGAGAAAAATTGGGCTGGTCATACTCAACCACTGTAGAACATTCCTCTGAGATATCGATCAAAAACCTTAATAGAACCAATGTTTGATTTCACTCTAAATATATATATATATATATATTTATACACCATATGCACTGTATTTATACAGTATATATGTACATATTGTATACTCGAGTTTGACCATCTAAATGCCTGAACATCAAGGCATCAAAGGAACGAGGCAAATCAAGTCTATCGATGCACCAGATCGCCATCCTACTTCAGCACCAGGAACTGGAGGATCTATGAGTGTTGTGGCTTTCGATGACCAGGCCACATGATACATCAGGATACATCTGTGACCACCTGTTTCTGGTAAGGTATCTGGGTAATCTGTAATTCGCAAACCTGATTAAAGGCTGGTTGGTGGTTTCAACCCCTCTGAAAAATATTAGTCTGTTGGGACTAGTATTCCCAATACAGTATATGGAAAAAAAATGTTCCAAATCACCAACCAGAGGGCCTTGTTTGATGGCCTTTCCACTGTTGACTATCTGGGTTGAGGTCCAACAAAACTCTCCAGATTGATTGGGGTCAACAGTTGAGCCCATGGTCTTTCACAAATTCTTTCACTTTCTTTCACATAGTCACAATTAGTCACATAGCCCAAAAAAAACATGTGTTTGTCCACAGATGTCCCTACTGAATAGTGATTGTTGATGATCAACAATGGATTGATCATGGATTGTTCATCAACAATGGCACATAAGAATCTTTCCAAAGATATCCCTACTGTGGATGGAAGAAATCCTGCACCACCTTGGATGTTTGAAACCCTATAAATAATGGGATAAACCATCTATCAACTGGTGATTCGGATTTCTTCCATCCACAGTAATAGTGTTGATAGACCTTTGGACTGTTGAGAAAAACCTCTGGCGTCGCCTCAAAGGTGGACTTGGATTCCGCCAGATAGCGCTGAGTGTTGTCCTTGGCGGAAACATTTTCTTTGGGACTCAGAAAGGTTGAAAATCGATGAAAATGGGTGATATAAAGTCATGGGAATCAAATCGAATCATTCCAATAAGAATAGACATTTGATATGATTTGATACAGTACTACTATGGGAACATGGATGAAAATGGGGATATGTTCGTTATCTATCATCGCGGATATGACTAAACATTTGGTATACCTAAAAATCAAAGCAGTGATCCAGTGAAACAATGCGAAAAACGGACATGAAAGAACACATCGATTTTGGGGTACACTGTTTTCAGACAAATCCCAAAAAAGATCTGCGGTGAAGGTCTAAAATGTTAAAAGGCAATTCTTGCGGACATTGGACACAAGCAACAAACATGGGATATTATAATCAACAATTAAAAACGTAAGTTAGTTCGCTTCAGCCCAGTTTTAACTTGGGAATGATGATCATTGTCCAGGTCGGGATAGAGAAGAGACAACATAAAATCAACAAACAGGTCAATTGTTGGTTTAATCATTATCAGTGTTGGTTAGTTAATTGTTAAACCCCAATGTTTGAATGTTTGATGCCCAAATACTTTATCTTGATGGTTGGATCACCATTGTTACCCAATTTAGTGATTTGTGCGAGCGCATGTGAGCGCCACCTTCCTCATGCACCTCATGAATTGGCAAAGTACAAGGCGGGGCCCGAAAACGACTGGCAAGCTGGTCTAGACGAACGGCCGGGCCTATGACGTTGCAGTCAGCAGGACTCTTATTCAGAAGGATTGCACTCCCAATTGTGTGCAAGTTTGTGTGCACACCACTCAAGGATCCAGTCAATCATCTACAATCCACAAAAAAAAACATCAAACAATTGCGATTTTCAACCGCTATCAGATATCATGTAGTTGGGAGACCATTTACATCACTTTTTTTGGAATGTGGATGCAACCATAGCTTTGTTCACAGCTCCATTCACCACCGGAGAGTAACATATATATATATAATCATAGATCATTACTTATTACGTCCCAATCATACCTTCCAAAAACCTGAGGTTTTCAACCATCCAAACCATCCATCAGTTTTCCATGGTTTTGTCGAGTTGCCACAGCTCGCTTGGAGAGGTTGAAGATCTCCTTTTGCGCCTCATGGTTTGTCTGAAAATTAAATAGGTGTATCATTAGTGTTCGATTCAAGTTGCAATTTGTGTGGGATGTGTGGGGTAAGATCATCATCTTGTGGGTGATTCATAAACCCTCTGGTAAACGTTTACATAACTATGGAAAATCACCATGCTATTCATGGATTTCATGGGAAAACTCACTATTTCGACTGGTCCATCCCCACACCATCTCTCCCGGATTGTTGCTTCGGTCATCTCCCATCGTTGTTGGTTAAAGAACCCATTCTTCGCCGCAGCATTGCTGATTTCACATAAAATAGCCATGTGTTCCTTCTTAAATTGCCATTTCTGTGGGTTAAACATGGTTAAACCACAACTTTAACTTAGCACCTGTCCAACCAACCCCCAGAAATTCCCCCTGTGGCACGGCTAGGCAGCTGGCGCCAATCATCAATGGCAGGAAAGTGGTGGCATAGACCGAGCACGTGGCATCGTTGAAGCCGCGACCTTTGGGAAGTGGGGGTTATCCATTAGGATTTATTCATCAACCTCTGGATTTCATGAGATTTTATGTTGTTTAATAGTGATTTAATTCAATTGTATGGGGACTTTCCTGGGGATTAAACGAGCAAAACTTGGGAATACACTGTTACACCGGCATGTGTAGTCTATCCTCTGGATATCTGACAGATTGCCATGGAAGCCGCGGCCCATAGTTCGATGATTTTGCGAACTTTAACATGGTGATTCTCCATAGCGAACTGTTCAATTACCAGAGAATAATGTTTATCACTAGAAGTGGGGATCAAGGTGTTGGAAACAGAGCTTCATCTAATAGATTCAATATGCATATGCTGTATATAAATATATCGAGGTTTCCTAAGTCATGGGGGGTACCCCCATCCATTTATAGATGGATTTTCCATGATAAACGATCCATTTTTGGGTAGCCATGTTTTAGGAAACCCCCATATGGTGCATCCTATGGAATGGAGAGATGGATTTACCAGGATCACCATGACAACTTTTACCAACATAGCTGGGTCATGTCGCATCATTGCCAATATGGGAATGTATTACTGTACTGCAGAATTACATGTGTTTTTTTTTGCATGTATGATGCATATATTGATGTATATGTATATACTTGTATTGATGTATATTATTTGGAATCGCGGCAAGCCAACAACAACTACCCAACTGTCCTCAGCCTGTCCTTGTTGGCTCCATATTCCTCCAATAAATTCTGTGCTTCTCGTTTCGCAAAGAAATATATAGATAAACCATGATAAAACGGGTCTGGCGCAAATGTTGGTCATGTTTGCATTCAACCACTGTTTATTGAATAACTTATATATATATATATACAGTTCTACTATTACATTTCCATCATCCTCAACTCCGAAACAACATTTATGCATCTCTTGGAAATTATTTCTACACCCCAACAATTTCACCAAGTTCAAATCATGTCAAATCAATACTATACAGACTATACATATATATATAAAGCCACGTTAAGCCGTTGTGGTTCCACTCCACCAGGATGATTCGGCCCGTCGAGCCCCCAACACAGCACGATGATATTACTCCAACGCCTCTCCGCGAAATGAAGACTGGATTAGAAAGAAGGATGGGACATCAAATTGGGACCTCATCACCGGCAAGTATGTGAATATGTGAACTTAATATTCCTTAAACCAATGAAATGAGGATCTGACCCAGAAATGTGGGAAATGAGCAAACATGGGTTTGGGCAAAAAAATAGTATATTAGCATACAATAAGTCAATAGGATAGTAACTTCATATGGGGATTTGAGACCACTCACTTCCTTAAAACGGAAGAATAGGGGGTCGCGACTACACCATTCATCATGAACCACTGATATCTACTGTATGTACTGTAATTAAATAAAGTAGCAGCGGAAAAAACAATGGGGCTAAATTTGGGACAACTAATTATGGTACTATTTAGTTCTATGTGATGACAAAAGTTGGATGAAAAAATAGCAACAAAAATGAGATACTGCTACTAAAAAATCAAGCCATAAATGTTGATCATGGTTATATAGCGTTGAACCAAGCCATGTCCATGCCACGGCTCTAAAACATCTAAAACCATGTGTGCAATTTGCTGTTTATGGCGCGTTCATGTTTCTACGTTTTGCATCAGAGATTACACATTCATGCTACCTCGTTGAACATTCAGTGGGCTGGGGTGGGTGGATGAGGGGGCAATTGCGCACGCAGTTGCTGCTATGCTATTATCATCTTTTCTTCGTTAGGATATAGTGGGATATATGATAAAGTTGACGCTACAATATCATTGTATTGCTTTCTTAGGGATCACACTTGATGCTACACGACCATGTTTTTTTCTTGTTGGGATAGGCAGTTGATGCTACGCATCGTGATGAAGATCTTGATATCCAGTGCAGATCTCGTTACAAAGACCGCCAAAAGTCTCACCAGGCAATGATAAACCGAACCGAGGGAAACGTCTGCCATTCATCGATGTTTTACAGGCTATCGTTGACCCATTCGCAGCGCTCCCTGTTGCGCGTTTTCTTGTCCCCCTTTGTGCAGTGATTTCATTTCAAAATAGGCAGGTCACCAAGCCGCTGGATGGTTCCAATCCAAGATGGTAAAAGGAAGTTATATAATATATATACACGTGTTTCTAGTGGATCATTTAAGTTCTGGTCGCTTTAGATTCTAATAGATGGAACATCAGCATCTGATGGTCCATGATGGTGCCAATGCGAAGAAGCCAATTCCAGGAGAAATATGGAACAAATTGTATTTATACATGTAATTACATTGTAGTTACATGTAGTTACCCCTTAAGTTTGGGCAAGACATCTATTATAATACATTATAGTACTACATTATTAATTATACAATTTCAGTATAAATCAATATAAAGATGGTCCTATATGGGGTCAATATATTCTGGCTCTACCGCTGTGAATTTTCCTGTTCATGAACCAATTTAGGAAACTCTATGCAACTAGCTGCTTTGTTGTACCAAGCAAGACATGATAAGACATGGGCTACTCTTGTACATACCATCATTGGTAAACTAGGCAATCGTATCCCGGTGGGTACGGTCCCTGCATGATATATATGTTTTAAATAATAGGTCGCATATTGGTCGCATAATATTGAATCATACTGTCATATTGTAGTACCTACCCCATATTTCAACAGCGTGAACCCAACCACCAGCTCCCATGTGGTTACAGCCCATCCACAATTTGGATAATGTGCAAATGCGGCCTCTCGGTAGTTTGTAAGCTGTCAGCCTTTTCTTTCAGGATTTGATGCAATAATTCATGCCAAATGTCAGGCTCCCAAGATTGCTTGGTGGAGTAGCCCGTTCAAGGCTTTGGTTGAAATTCTGGCCAAATGTCAAACTTTGCAGGCTGCTTGGTAGAGTTACTTGATCCAGATTTTTGTTAAAAATTTTTGCCAAATGTCAAACTCTGGAGAGTGCTTGGCAGAGCCACTCTCGTCAGGCTTTGGTTGAAATTCTGGCCAAATGTCAAACTCTGCAGGCTGCTTGGTAGAGTTACTTGATCCAGATTTTTGTTAAAAATCTTTGCCAAATGTCAAACTCTGGAGAGTGCTTGGCAGAGCCACTCTCGTCAGGCTTTGGTTGAAATTCTGGCCGAATGTCAAACTCTGTAGGCTGCTTGGTAGAGTCACTCGTTCAAGGCATTGAATAAATTTCTGGCCAAATGTCAAGCTCTGAAGATTGCTCGGTAGAGTCACTCTTTCCAGGCATTGATTGAAATTCAGGCCAAATGTCAAGCTCTGAGGATTGCTTGGCAGAGTCACTTGTTCAGGGCTGTGGTTGAAGTCGCGGCCAAATGTCAAGCTCTGAAGATTGCTTGGTAGCATCACTTGATCCAGTTTTTGGTTAAAATCGCGGCCAAATGTTAAGCATTCAAGATTACTTGGCAGTGTCACTCTTTTCAGGCGTTGATTGAAATTCTGACCAAATGCCAGAGTCTGAAGATTGCTTGGTAGAGTAACCCGTTCAGTTCAAGGCTTTGGTTGAAATTCTTGCCAAAAACCAAACTCTGAAGATTGCTGGCAGTGTCACTCGTTCAAGGCGTTGGTTGAAATTTTGGCCAAATGTCAAATTCTGCAGGCTGCTTGGTAGAGTCACTTGAGCCTCCCTCAAGGCTTTGGTTGAAATTCTGACCAAATGTCAAGCCCTGAAGATTGCTTGGCAGAGTCACTCGCTCAAGGCTTTGGTTGAAACTCTCACCAAATGTCAATCTCTGAAGATTGCTTGGCAGAGTCACTCGCTCAAGGCTTTGGTTGAAACTCTCACCAAATGTCAATCTCTGAAGATTGCTTGGCAGAGTCACTCGCTCAAGGCTTTGGTTGAAACTCTCACCAAATGTCAATCTCTGAAGATTGCTTGGCAGAGTCACTCGCTCAAGGCTTTGGTTGAAACTCTCACCAAATGTCAATCTCTGAAGATTGCTTGGCAGAGTCACTCGCTCAAGGCTTTGGTTGAAACTCTCACCAAATGTCAATCTCTGAAGATTGCTTGGCAGAGTCAGTCAACTTGGCAGAGCTTGGCAGAGACTGGTGAAAGGCTTTGGTCGAAATTGTCACCGAAGTTCAAGGGCTTGTCTCAGGATTCCTTGGAACATGGGAGGTCCCATGTGTCCAAACAGCTTTCAAGGCTTCGCGGGAGATGGGGCAAGAGTGCCGCAGTGTCTCTGAAATTGGGCATTTCCCTCGGATAAAACTCCATGCAGCTGCATATAATCTGTTGGAACATAAGTGCAAGAGAGTGTTGCAGTGTTCCCCTCAATACCCTGCTGTCGCAATGTTTGGTTAAGGACTAGTTGGGAATTATTGTTTTGCAGTGTTAGTTTTCCACCTTTCCGTGGTGGAAGCTCGTTTGAAACCATGCGGCGTACTTCCCAACCCACAGAGGAACCACTGACTTTCAGTGTGCATCCTTCACCATTCAGGCACAGTACTTGAAGATAACTACATCGGAGCCACTGCTTGGCGACACATAGCTGCAAACAGCACTGTTGGACATCAGCCGCTTTCCGTGATACCAGGCTTTGCCGCTTTCGAGCGGCCGTAAAGTTGAGCCGAGCGATACCGTTGAATACAAACCTGAGATGAAATGAGTTTGGGGGTATGGAGACTCCCAGTTGCCACCTCATTTCAAGATATCTTGAAATTAAAATGGGATTGCGCCTGAAGCACATCTGCAGAACCATCAGCCAGAAGGTGTTAGAAATGGAAAGGGTCGATATACAAACAACTTGAAACCTGTGGTTTTGTAGGCCTTTAATTCTTGGCTTCTTGATGGTTCTTGGTCAAAGCAGCATTTTTGATGCTTGATCCATCAACAGAAACCAACAAAAATGATCGAACTTGGATGTTTGATACGAAAAAATCGCCACTATTTCTTGGTTAGAGAATTAGCCAGTCCTTGCATCAGTGTCAGCTGGTGCTAAGACATGCCAGGTCTATCCAGGTCTGGTTCGGAGCGGACAAGGCACCGCATGTGATAGAGACACAGCACGCTGAAGGTCACGAGTTGAGCCTGGGGCCCGATGCGTCATGGATTAATCATGGTGAACATGGATATATAAATCCTGGATAAATCATGATAAGTCCTGAAATTTAGGATGTTGATGAGTTGTTTGCCTTTACCATGGTCAAAGATCCCCACATGTGGACAGTTGCGCAGTCATGGCTGACATCGAATCATTTTCACGGATCAATCTCTCATCATCCATTGGAATTGCGGCTACCGTATATAAGATCCTGGTAGTTAACCGTTAAACCCCCTATAAAAGATATGAAACATTAGACAACCATGGTTAAATCATGTGAACAATTTTATGTCAATCCCATGAAACTGGGAGCCCCTGCCACACTGGGAACATCGAGTGTTGGCATCTTCTCGAACCACACATCGAAGAGCTCTTCGTCCGCCGACTCGGTGGCCGGGACAAGGCCATTTCTCTAGGGAATTTCTAATGGTTCACCCCTCAAAAAAATGGTTGTATAGGTCTGACAATTCGAACATGCTTGTTCTGGAACACAATGGTGTGCATTTTATTATATGATATGTTTTTCGTTTTTGAGGTTTGAGAGTTCAATCAAGGCAGGTTTCGTTGAACAAAAATGGTGATTTTGACACTTTGCTGGTTGTGGTGAAGATTGATGTACCAAAGAGCGGGATTGAATGTGGGATCATGTGGGTGGAATGTAAAACGCACTGCTTGTGCATCTGAAACTTGGGGACTACCAGTCTACCAGATTGTTGAAGCAGAATCCAATGGCTCTTCCAGTTTTGATCGAACCCAATTCAAAAGTACGCAAATGAAAAAAAAAAACTCCAGACTTTGCAAAAGCAAACAGTTGTTGTTTTAAGAACACTAAATCATATATAACAAATAAGAATACAGTATATAATACAGTATGTACATAATATGATAGATAAAGGAAATATATGCGATATAACATACAACATGTTCAAAAAATATACATATACTGTAATAACACAAATTTCAAGATATATAATAGTTGGTGTATGATACAAAACAAATCATATATGATTATAAAAGCAAATGCAATGGTTTGTTTTCATTTTTGAACACATATACATTATGTGTATTGTGTTTAACGCGTGTTAAAAATTATTAAGTAGAGCAGATATAAATTTAAATACGTATTCAATAATGCTTTATATATAAATATATTGTAGAAAAGAAACTATGTATTCAAACAAACTGCTGGATAATAAAGTGCACAGTCAGTGAACAATACAGAGTATAAAGCATATAGAATATTTGTATGTAGTACCTAGTACAAAAGGCCTCTGGTCTACAGAAAATATAGTATATTACAAATAAACTGTATATATATATAAATATAAAATATAGCAAACAGGATTTATAGTATATATAGTAAATAAAGTATATATGGAATGTAACGTATTTACAGTGTGTATATATATAGTACATATTTACTAAACACTATATATACTATATATGTAAATAATTATAAATATACTATATATATTTATATATAAATACTGTAGATATACTACAAATATGTATATATATATATATATGTATATACTAAATAAATTATAAACATAGTGAATACAATAAACACACACATATATATAGTTAGTAAATTGTACAGTTAATACAAAATAACGTATATCAAAAAAGTATATACAATAGACATGGGATATATTAAATATATTGAATAAAGAATCTACAGTAAATAGTATACATAGTATATACAGTATATATAGTTTATCCATTTTTTGAAATATATGTAGTAAATGTAGTATATGTAGTATGTAGACTATATATATATAAAGTATATATAGTGTAAATATATTTAGTATCTATATAGTCGAAAGAAGTTTGGAAGTCAAACTTCCGACAATATGGACAGATGAAAAGCAGAGCAGGGCAGAGGCAGAGAGAAGAGAAAGATTAGAAGAGAGAATAGAAGAGAAAGAGTCAGAAGAAAGAAGATGCAGATGCGCGAAAAGGTAGGAAAGTCGCGAAACACTGTGTTTTTTCAATGATTTGTGGCTCCAGAGGGCCGAAAAGTAGGTGGCAGGCGTGGCACTTGGCGACATGGATCCTCACTTTGCGTGGCAGGCGTGGCACTTATGGGACTTATGGCACTGGGCTGGCTCTGGTGGCGCGCTTGGGTCTCAGTTGACGCCGTGGGCGCCGCGGCTTTTGGCGTGGCAGGCGTGGCACTTGGTGACATGGACCTTCACTTTGCGTGGCAGGCGTGGCACTTGGCGACATGGATCGTCACTTTGCGTGGCAGGCGTGGCACTTATGGGACTTATGGCACTGGGCTGGCTCTGGTGGCGCGCTTGGGTCTCAGTTGACGCCGTGGGCGCCGCGGCTCTTTTGCGTGGCAGGCGTGGCACTTGGTGACATGGACCTTCACTTGCGTGGCAGGCGTGGCACTTGGCGACATGGATCCTCACTTTGCGTGGCAAGGCGTGGCACTTATGGGGCACTGGGCTGGCTCTGGTGGCGCGCTTGGGTCTCAGTTGACGCCGTGGGCGCCGCGGCTTTTGGCGTGGCAGGCGTGGCACTTGGTGACATGGACCTTCACTTTGCGTGGCAGGCGTGGCACTTGCACTTGTGGCACTGGGCTGGCTCTGGTGGCGCGCTTGGGTCTCAGGTGTCGCCGTGGGCGCCGCGGCTTTTTGCGTGGCAGGCGTGGCACTTGGTGACATGGACCTTCACTTTGCGTGACTCACATACAACTTGCTCACACACAACTTGTCCACACACAACTTACTCACACACAACTTGTCCACACACAGAACTTGTCCACGTACACACACACACAACTTGACATCGACGCTCACTTTGCGTGGCAGGCGTGGCACTTGGCGACATGGACCTTCACTTTGCGTGGCAGGTGTGGCACTTGGTGACATGGTACCTTTCCGTCTTCATCACGCCCGTGACGCCTCTCCGCTCGTGGAAAAAATAAGCGTGCCTGCGGACCTACCATACAAACATACATAAATACGACATATATATATATATGCATCCATACATCCATCCATCCATCCATCCATACATGCATACATACATGCATGCATACATACATGCATACAACACAACTTGTCCATACACAACTTACTCGTACTTACTCTTCCACACACAACTTGCTCCACACCAATCCTTCACCATCTCTTTTCTCTTTCCTTCTTTCACCATGCTATCTTTACCTTTCTTTTGCTGCTTGTTGGAAGAAGTTGACATGTGGGGTTATCCGGTCCTTTATTTTTTTTTGATTCCACACTATTGCGTACCCGGTCCCTTGAAAATTCCACCGTATTGTGTACCCTAAATTTGTTTGGGGGGGAGGGGGGGGCCCCCTACACTGGTCAGTACCCTACATTACATGCCAGATTCTTCCCCATGACCCCTGAAAAATACATAATATCATTAGGGGGGTTGGGGGTGGTATCCTGCTTGTTCTCCATGTCATCATTACATTACGACGATGATGATCCTTCCCGGTCCGGGCAAACGATGGCGTTTGACCGTGTATATATATACATATATATTATATATCTAGTAGTTTTTATTTTAATAAAGTATAGTATATATATACACGCTAATATATATATATATTCATAATTTATAATGTATCATATTTAATTTAATAGGATATATAATGCAAACAACATATATAATATAATAATATATAAAATATTTTTAAAAGATATAATATATGGTATCCAATTCATAAAAACTAGAAGATACAACATATATATATAATAACAAATCAAAGTATATGAAATATATATATATTGTATCATATACGATTGTATACGTATTCGACATTCATTGCACTCAATTAATTGTCAAAACACAAAAATCCTTCGCTGGGTGCCCCGGACGCGAATCATTTCCTTCGTGGCGCCGTTGGCAATTAAAACCACTGCCTCTTCCTGCAGAAATCCAACGGTTCATCATGTTCGCCACAAAAAAACTGCTGTCCTTTGGGGCCTATTCGAAGTGTCTGGGTATTTTAGAGATTGTGATGGGGACGATGTGGCTGGAACTGTCAAAAAAAAGTGTCCAAAATTCCCATGGTAAATCATATAGTGGCCAATGTTTTGAAACATGGTTTTTGCCCATGTTTTTCTATGATTCAGACATATTCAGACATGTGTATTCAAACTATGTCTGTTGCATTCAGCAAAAAAAAATGCGGTAAAACCAGACCGTTGGCCTCCGAGACGTCCTGCAACTTCTTTCGAAACGCCTCGCAGAATCGATGCCATAAGCCCATAAGACATGGATTGAATGATGATGATTAATAAAGATTAATAGGATTTAACGGGTATATATACGGTATATAACCAACAGTAATAATAGATGAATAACATTATAACATATTATAACATATTATAACTGGAAGCCGCAAAAATTGGTGATGACTTGGGCTGGTTTATGGAAATAGGGTTTACCGTTTAGCACATTCTAGTATACCCTGTGGATCCATTCGTACTTTTCTGAGGAAGCATGATTTTGGGGGATTAAGATGGGTTAAGTACCTTTTGGGGGTTAAGTATCTGGATCCAAAGAGAAAGTTTTTAACATAGTTTAATATATACCCTCTGGTTATTTAACATAGCCATGGAAAATGGCCAATTTATAGATGGTTTACCTGGGTTTACCTATTAAAAATGGTGATTTTCCATGGCGAACTGTTAAATAACCAGATGGTATGTTAACCCTATGTGTCACCTAACTTGGAGATTGGTCGAGATGAAATCTGACAGACTGCTGAACTTTCCTGACACAGCAATCCATGAGGCAATCGGTGAAACCACCAATGCATGTGATCTAGTCATGCCTCAACGTTTGCTTTAAGATTGTGGAAAAGGACCAGGTCAGCTGTATTCATGGCCGTCTTAGATACCCTTCACTTTTTGGGTAGAAAACTGTAGGACTATATACAATGGCAACGGACAAAGGTATTGCACTAACCAACCAACGGTGCACAGTGTTATTCGACAATTGTACGAAATACCCAAGAATCTCAAACAAGCGTTGTTTCGATTCTCAAGTCTCCCCTAAATGCCTCCACCGCACTCCTGTCTATTTGAGGTCCCTGATTGGCACACCAGCAACAGTTCAGAACCAGTCTTCATTTGTGGCCCCACGGATCAGTCTGAAGTCTGAAGACCGGTGATTCTAGTTGGTTCTACTACCAAAAGCGACCAACATCATCCAACATCCCAAGATAAGATTCTGGGCAGAATCTTGAATGAGTCAGGTCATGTAACAACTCCCTGGTCCTCCAACCGATCAGCCTCCGGATCTGCTTTCATCGGATCTGCAGTGGCCTGCTGGGAGTCTTCGAGCGACAACGGCTATCATGAT